TTCTTGGGAACGTGTCATCTATATTATATAATGTTAGTTTTCAGAAATTATTATTTATATGTATATATTTTTTTAACTCTCCGTTACCCTCTAAAACTTTATTTATTAGTTATTATTTTTTTCTGAAATTCTACGCTTTCCAACGATATATTATACATACACCTTCTGACCATTTCAGAAGATTCATTTTCGACCTGGATATGCATATATATATATATATATATATATATATATATATATATATATATATATATATTTTTTTTTTTTTTTTTTTTTTTTTTCTTCTTTATTAAAGTATCAAATTATTTTAAAATTTATATTTAGCCAATTTCTTATAAATCCTAAATAATAGAGTAAGAGATATAATAAAATAAATAATAAGAGATTAAATAATAGAGTTAATTATTTTAAATAAATCAAATTAAAGTTACTTTAGAGGGAGACATTTTGCACATATGACATTTAAGCCCTGTTAAGCGATATCAATAGGGATAAGACCTAAATAATATTAAAGATTACTTAATTATACATTGATACATCGTGTTAAATCAAAATCGTTAATGCTGTTTTGGGGAAAATAGTAAAAATGTGTAAAATCGATTATATAAAGTGGTACTTTCGGTTAGCCGATTTTAATGAAAAAGTTGCTGAAACATCCCAGGTATATACCTAACTTAAGTATGTATTTTCAGTTTCCTACAACTTTTCATTTTTGAGCTTGACTGATGACATACACACACATAGACCATTTTGAGGGATTCAGTTATTTGAACTCCGGGAACCTCAAAACGTGTATTTTCGTTGAAAATTCAGATTCGAAAATTTTGACGATAGCAATATTTTCTCTTAATATATATTACAATTATAGGTCAATGAAAGTAATAAAAAAATATTTAAAAAGTTTCTGTTTTTACAAGAGATTCAAATTAGATTAACATTTTTCCTCACACAACGTAATAATAATCATATTATTTTCAAAATTCAAGAAAAAAATTTTTATAATACTTCTTTTAATATTATCAACTGGAAGACAATTTTATGAATGGAACTAAACAAGTTAACCTTGTTAGTCTTCAATTATAAATTCACGAATCTTAACGGATCAGTACAAGATTTACATAACTAACTTCTTTGTAAGTTGTTTCGAACAACAATAATACTGAGGTTATAAATGGTACCACAGACGGATTTACGGGAGGGCTTTCGGGCTGAAGCCCCCCCACCCCCCTCCCCAAATGGTAAAATATAACAATATTTTATAGAAAAAAATATAAAAAACTATATCTTAAAGTGTTATTGTTCATGTAATTACATTTAATAGGACTTCAAGAATCACTAAGACACCATGTCATATGGATAGTTAGTTTCTTTTTTTTTCAAATTAATTATCGTTATATATATGAAAAAAAATTCCTTCGGGCTGAAACCCCCCCCTTCAAAAAATTAAATCCTGGATCCGCTAGTGAAGGAGAAACTCCTTTTTTTTTTTTCTTTTTAACATTACACTAACGAATAGTTAGTCATAGCTGATACAAACACAATTGTTTTTATATAATCATGTCCTATTTTCAAGGTAAGATCTAAAAGTAGTCCATATTTTGACAAGTGGAAAATTTTAGTGTTGCTTTGGTTTGAAAAATGTCATGAAGAGGAATGTAGAGTATATTATAATAAAAACTCACGCCCTGGGAATATAAAATAAAATGGCTGACTCAGAGAGAGAGAGAGAGGACATGAGATATTGGTAGTCTGTGAGCAGCCTCGATGACTCACTCATCAGTGGCTCTTCTCTCGGGTATTCTTCTGTATTCGAGTATCATTAACAGCCTAAGTCGGCAAATATTGGGTATTTGGTACAAAAAATACAATTTATCAATAATTTTGACCGAATTAACTGACTTATCCCGAGTAAATGCACCGGTAGGTGGATATGTATGCTTCAGGAAATTTCTTTGAACTTTCACGTGTAAAAACTTATACAAACATGTTGTATTTTTTTATTCATGTTATATAACACCATCTCGACTTACCCAGACACATTTCAAATCCATGAAACATCTATAAATATTTTAAAAAATTGTAAATTTAGAGAAAAGTTCTGTTGCACCAGTAGGTGACACTGATTTGGAATGTTCCTATAGATGACAGGGACGAAAAAAAGGATGTAATTATGCAAAATAAATTTTATATTCTTCATTTTAAATAGATATTAACAAAAATTACCTTTAAGTTATTATAAAACTAATTTGATTTAATTTCTCGACTTCAATTTATCGATAAATAATTATAACTGTGAAGAACTTGTTTTTACAATAGTTTTTTTTTTCTGATCCTCCATTTTATTTTACGATAGTTACATACATAAGAACAAAACATATAAAATAAGGAGGTACGTTGTATCCCAGTGTTATGATATCAATACTACAATAAAAAACTTTTGCAATAGAAAAACCTATTTTTGCTTAATATTTAATCCAAATCACTAGCAATTTTGGTTTATTATTCTCAATAATGAACCATTGTGATAGAACAAAAAGTTCGAAAACTTAACCCCCCTCAAAATTTGAGGTTTTACCTTTCAGGGTACGTAGAATTCGAAAAACGAATAATTTTTTTTTTGTCCGTCGTGCATTTCCTCTGAAACTACTGGACGGATTTTTTTCCTTCAAGATGGCTACCGAAAAACCTGTGTTGCTATAGACTGTAGCACCTAAACGAATGTACCGATTTCAATGAAACTTCGCTAAAATAATTTTCTCGACACCCTTTCAACGAAAAGAAGCTGAAAAAAAAGTTACGGGGGATGGTAAAATTATATTCCAAATAACACAAAAAGTATACATTTTTGTCAATATTGTGATAAGATGTTTCAAAGGTATTAAAATTTCCTTAAAAATGAAGAAAGTTTCATCGAAATCAAAGCACTATTAGTAAAGATATCGCGATATTTAAATATTTTTGGTTTATTGTGTATGGTTCTTTAAAAATTTACGGATTTTCCTAGAAAAAAAAAACATCGTTAAAATCAGACAATTAGGAGTAAAGATATGTTCTCTAGATGGTTATCCTTTGTTTTGTGTTTTGGTTTTTGAATGTGTTACTGAAATAATGCTAATTTTTTTTACCAAATTACTATTATTTAAAAAAAAAAGTTTAGTACAATAATTAGAATCACCTTTTATTTCTTTTTCTTTGTCACTAGGAAGGTAATGTTACTTTATATGTATAATTGTTTGAAAATAATAAACTATTGTGAAATAATTTGCAGCGTTTTTTTTTTTTTTTTTTTTAAGGAGCGGGAGTGAATGGTCTCATTTTTAAGACCCTTTATATAAAGTTATCTTTTTTAATTAAAGAGAGTACAGGCCCGTCAGCTACTGGCGAAAGGCACCATTATAAGGCTCCAGTAGTTGACACCCTTTAAATTTTCAATTCCTCCATCAAGGTAAGTTGAAAAAGTACAAAACATAGTCTAAAACACTTGAAGATAAAATAAATAAAACATTTTGGGATAAATCAAAGTAATTAAACAGAAAAAGCCAAACATGAGGAATGGTACCATAACTGATAGATTGTTGTTCCTGGAACACTAAGAGGACCATGAGGAACTCAACTAATTTGCTACCCATTATTTCGGTAATAGTTTTCCGCCATGGCTGAAGCAAAGCAGACAGAGATACAAGGAGAAAATATAGAAACCAAAAACATATGAAATAGAGTCCTGGGATGTCCTGAAATCTGTTATTATCATTTTTCGAGGAGAATGTCACGTACTGATACTTTTACCCTAGTTTGGGAACAGAAGCTGATCCAGAATTTTATTTTGGTTGCTACATCAGCCCGAAAGTTTTTTTAATATATTTAGTGATAATTATTTTGGAAGGAAAAGAAACTAACTACCGGTATGAAATGTTTGATTCTTAAAGCTCAATTAAAAAAAATATTATACGAACAATAATACTTTTTGAGGTGGTTTTTAAATATTTTTTCTTAAGAATTATATGTATATACATTTCAATTTAAAAAATAGAACAAATTATTTAAGTTTTTAACTTAAAATTACACATATGCTTGTATTTAATTTTTTGTATTGGTTAGTTGGAGTTTCTTTTTGTCTATATATATTATTCTTATTATTATTATTTTGCTTTTGTTCTATTTAATTTATTTTTATTTATTGTACATATGGTATGAATGTATTACTGTATCAATATTTGCTATTTACTATTTACTAATGTGCTTATTTGAGCCAGTTTGTAATATTATTCAATAAAGAAATGTTTAGTAAAAAAAAAATATATATTTTCATTTTGTGGTTTTTCAGAGTATGAAGAATTCCAAACACAATATTGTATAAATAAAATAAAGTCGCCGATTGGCGACTACAAATCAAATCAATAAACATACAGAAGGTAATCTAAATAAATAAAAATAAAAATGGATCCTGCCGTTAGCCCAAAAAATCGTTACATATCTCTTAGCAAATCGAATTAATATATTTTATTCAATCACGGGAAAGTGCGTTTAGCTAAAATTGTTTAAAAAAAAAATGACTGAATAATTTATGCCATTAAACTTACAAATCGATCCAGCCGTTCATTCAAAAAATCGTTACCTACCTTTGAGCAGACGACCCAAAATCAAAACCCTCATGTCACTTCTCTTAATCGGGTAATAAATCTACGAATAGATACAGGAATAATATGAATAGATACAGTAAGAAAACGGCAACATGAAATATTTTAATTTATTCATTTAATAAATAAGTGGCAACTAAAACCGCATCTTTTCAAAAAATTCAAGATAGGGCCCAGCGCTCTATTTGGATGTGACCAAAACGAACAAACCACAGAACGTAGCTGACAACTAGTGAAGTACATAAGAAGGACATACATGACCCCAACCAACAAATCTTGGAACCAATCTGTTACTGTAAGTCTGGATGACCTGACATAGCCATCTAGAGGGAAGAATGAAGAAGAAGAAAATAAATGACTCACTCTAGTTCTGTACTGCCTGTGCTGATCTTGAAGACATGTTTCCTCTGATCACAGACCTGAAGTGCTGTAACAAAACTGACATTACAGATCTTCAGGCATGCCTCCTTAATTTTGTCTACTTTGGCTTCTGAAAAGCCTTTTATAGCGCATAGCTTCTTCCTGGTCATCATCTGGACACCTTTAATGGTACATATACCAGAGGCTTTTAGCTTTTTAATATCGGCTACATTCTGCAAAAAAAATACATTATCAGTTAAGATTGAAATAAAATATTGTATTTTTTTTTTAAATCTTTTATTATGATATTTACAACTGTATTAGTATGAATACATCAAGTAAATGTGTACAGAGGAATATTATCACATGAAACACGCTTGTTGAGAAACTACCCATTGGTAGCACTCTAATAATTTGTCTACATGAGGAGATCACGAGGCCATCTTCTTTTCAGACGCCTGGGAGGGTTATCAGGGATCGAAGAGGAAGCAAGGTTAGAAACAAGAGGATTCGGATGGTTATGATAAATATTGTATTAAAAGTGAAAAATGTCTAATATATATATAATGCATGTAAAAGAAAATTAAAGGGAGAAAAACCGAATTGCAATTCATACCAAAACATTAATAAAAGTATAGGACGTTCTTCATAATCATCATGAACAATTCGGATTTTCATAGGTTTAATATAAAATTATGGACAAGTTGCACAAGGTAACAAAAATATTATCAGTACATCAGTAAATACAGTATATATCAGTAAAATATTATAATAAATGCACCATCAGTTAAATATAAATACAATTGCAAAAAAAAATATATGATTTCTGAAAATGATCATATCATATACGTTGAGTCTCTGATTTTATTGCCTGATCTCGCAAATTCCTTATAAGTATGATGTAGTCGACGTTGCATCCATTCGTCCACTCCAAACAATAATGAAAAATAAAGTGGATATAAACATAGCATAGGCGTAGACTTCGGGAGGGAGAGGGGTGGCGAGAGGGGCGGTCGCCCCCCTATAAAAATGTAGAGGGCGAGAATATAGTTTCACCCTCCTCCCTTCCCCCAATAATGCGAATTTAAATACATTAAAATTTATAACAAATAAGCTACATGAATGAATAAAATATGTAAACTAAAATCGATTAGGAAAATAAGAAAAGTCTACTAGCTGGCTAAAGTAAGGCCTATAACTAGGTGCGTAGTATCTTGTCACGACCTAAATATTTCTATTATTTAAATTTTCATTCATATTCAAGAATAATAATAAAGAAACATACCCTAGGATTTTATGGTTCATTCACCTTTCATGTGGACACTTCCACTTTTATTTGGAGATTGTATAAACTAAGAAATCAAATGTATTTTTTTAGTTTTTAACATTATTAATTTTTAACTGAAGAAGTTCCCCTTTCCTCTCATCTTTAATGTATACAAATTGTAATATACCCAGTTGTTTTGTCCAGATATTTTCAAGTAGTAAAAAAATACTTGAATCATTCGGGCAAAAAAAGGAGCTTTGATAATTGTATTTATATATTGTCTTTTGCAAAAAAAATAAAATCCTGGGGGATAAGAAAAAAAAAATTCAAGTATACAAATGTCTAAACATATATATATATATAAATTTATTTTTAAATACTCAAATTATATATGTTCGTTTCACAGTAATTATGTTGAATTTTTACACATAATAAGAACTTCCACCATCTTTTTTTTTTTTGGTCCCTCGCCCTCCTTCTCCCCCTCTCCAATTAAAATGGAAAGTCTGCGCCTACGGGTGTATAGAAATGTTTCAGTGCAATAAAAATTAATATAAAAACCGTACTCTTTTCGTCCTTTTGAAATTATAAAATTATCCTTTGCTGGCATCAAAATCTGCTTTATCATACTTTTTTTTTTAAATATTAAAGAAAAACTTTGACTTTTCAGCTAATATATCCCAGAAAATTGGACGCCCTCGTGATCTTTGATGCAAAAAACACTTATAAAGAGATTCCTGAACTTCTGGATGACCGCCTAGTTTTAATTTTTTTCGTTTAGAGACATCACAATACTATTTCAACAGTTCCACACGAAACAAGACTGATAATACATACTGCGAAACAGAGCCATTTCCATTCTGTCTCTCATCAGTCAACATAAACTTTTTTTTCTTTCTTGTTCAGAATACCATGGGTTTCAGATTATTAGAGGGTTCGAATTATCGAAATCGTTCTATAATTTAATAAATTAAGTGCTCTCAATATTTGTGATGTTGGTAGTCAACAGATCGAGACAAGACAAAATGATTTTATAAGATTTTGAGGCGGATATCGAGACTTGGTAAAGTTCTTGGTAACGTCCCGGACGCATTTTTTGGAATGGTCCCAAAATTGGAACCGTTTTATAATTAATTCTTGTAGATGCCATGGTTGGCACGTTACTTATCATTTGTTTGGGTTTTTAAATAGAAATATTTGGTATATAACTAATATACAGTACGACACAAAAATCTATTTAAAAGTTAAACATTGAGGGATAGTTCTGAGACACCTTGGGTATCTCTGATAATATATAGAGTTGACAAAAAAAAAAAAACAACTGAGGTGTGTGCTTTAGACCACATAATATAAGTGAAAACATCATCAAGGCGATATTAATAATATGAAATATAAATTATAAATAATAGCTCATGACAAAGAGGATGAAATGCTGAACAATACTCTCGCTTACAGTATCCCAGGTCCGATTGTTAGTTCCTGAGATATTTTAATCCATATGCAAAGAACACTTCACTTAGTCGACTCCAGCCGAATTTACTCGAGCGTTACACATCGGAAATGTGACAGCTTAATCTAATTCACTCTCCACAGAACACTTCTAAAGACGTTTTCACTTCAATAATTGCGGATTTTTCAAGTAGACTTTGACTTTAATAACAATGTTATCATTGTATAATTGAAGAAAATTTTATCCCCTTCTTGGTGTTTGGCCTTTAATACCTCCTGTATAATTCCATGTAAATACTTTGATAATCAAATGTTTAGTTTAGTATTCAAATTCTGTTTTCAATCGGAGCTCAAAAAGCGCATTTTCGACATGTTCTCCTTTTTTATTTTTGTAAAGGAAAAAATGCTTAATAAGCACACAAATATACAAAAGATATGTGCTGTGTATAGTACCGAAGCCGAAGAAAGACAGTGTCAAAATTGGTAAGCGAAATTTGAGTGTAAAAGATTTTGTACTGAAAGACGAATAAACGCTTTGGACGACTAAATGAAGTTGACGGCCGAATCAAATCATCAAAGAAAATCGTCATAGCTTCATGTTAAAAGCTTTAGAAATAACTTGGGTATATGAAAAAGCCTTGATAAATGGGTTCCTCATCAGCTAGCTCAAAGAAATTCATTTCACCCAATGAGTTAGTCTCTGTGATTTGTAGTTTAAGCGAAATGGAGGTAACGCATTTTTAAAAAAGTTGATTTCAGGCGAAAAAAAACATAGGTGCTTTACAATAATACTATGGGGTAAAGATCATAGAGCAAGGAAAAGGAACCGACACAAACAAAATTCAAACCAGATATTCACCAACGAAAGGGATTGCTTTTACTGCATAACCAAACGATCAATTGAGATGTGCAAAGAAAACCCTCCTCAGTTAGGAAACCGTAAGGTTGTTGAGCTCCACCACGACAACGCTACTTCACACATCTTTGTCTACATGCCAAAAATGACTGCAACTTGATTGATCGTACACATCGTACAGTCCAGACTTCGCTTCTTCTGATTACCATTTATTTCATTCATGAAAGAACTTTTTGAATGGCAAAAAAAAAATTATCAATGAAGATGATTTTAAAACACACAAGGAGCTAAACAAAAAAAAAATTTACGAACTTGGAATCATGATGTTGCTTGAAAGATGGCAAAAAGTCATTAATAAAAATGGACAATATAGAGAAAGAAATGTTTTGTTATTTTTAGTAAAAATAAACAAGACAAACAAATTAAACTGCCTACAACATACTTAAACTATGTGCAAAACAAATAAGAAATGATAAAAAATAATATTATTTTGATTTATACGATTGTTATATTAGCAATTCGATAATCAACTTACAATGCCGTGGTTTTGCAAAGTGTCGACATCTTGGAAAAAGTTTTCTTCCTCTTCAGCATCGGTCAAATGTTCTTCAGTCAATGCTTGATCCTCTATCATGATGTTTTAACTAACAAAAAAAAAAAAAAAAAAAAAAAAAAAAGAATGAAATAACAAACCAAAATAAATATTTATTTTTTAATCTCTTTAATATACCAGGGGTGCTTAGGTCTATATTCAAACAAGTCGTAAAAAAAAAGAAAAAAAATAGGACATTTAAGTAGATACTTCTACTGACTATGTTTGAAGTTGAAAGAGGCTCATATTAGAGTTTTTGCCCTCTGAAACGAGATTCTAGATTCGATTTTTGGCTATATAATATAGTAAAATATATTTGTTACTATCTATCAGTTCTACTGCCAAACGTAAATCGATTCAGGACGCACATTTATGATCTCACAAGAGATTGCTTAATTCATGTTTTTAGTGAAGGGAAAACTGGCGATAGTTTTATAATTGACTGTAACGAATTTAATTGTAACCATTAATAATTAATTAATAAAGACCAAAAACAGGTTTAATGAAGAGAAGAATAGTTGGGGTGGTCAGTCAAAAAGGAAGGCAAAAATAAATGATAATACTTATTTTTACATATGCCGACGTTTCGACCTGAAGTTCAGGCCTTCATCAGGGCTAAGAAAATAACCCGATAACAAGGTATGAGAAACATAAGTAGTGATGGTAAAAAAAATAAATAAATAAATATAAAGTAAAATGAAATTGTTAGAATAATGACTAAGAATATTATTTATCTCTTAGCTCTTAGTCATTATTCTAACAATTTCATTTTACTTTATATTTATTTATTTTATTTTTTAAATTTATTTTATTTATTTATTTATTTTTTTTACCATCACTACTTATGTTTCTCATACCTTGTTATCGGGTTATTTTCTTAGCCCTGATGAAGGCCTGAACTTCAGGTCGAAACGTCGGCATATGTAAAAATAAATATTATCATTTATTTTTGCCTTCCTTTTTGACTGACCACCCCAACTATTCTTCTCTTCATTATCCACGACAGTCAACCAATTACCAATTATAAAAAAACAGGTTTAGTTTTTTTCACCCCACTCTTCTCATATGCAGTATAATATAATAAATAGTTGTGCAGAGGACTTAAAAATTACCTAAATATCTCTTTTTCTATTCCAGATATGTTTAACACAAGATGTAACTTTAGCTATCCTCATCGCTCATTGTGGTTTGAGAATATTATTGTGAAGCATAATCCCATGGAAGTAATCGTTTTACGTAAGACTTATTTTCATGTGATTAAAGGGTTATTCAGTTCGTTTAATTGGAATTTCATTATTTAAAAAAAAAAAATATGAAAATAGAATTTTCTGTCTGCAGTCCGTATCAAGATAAATAAAATAAATAGTTTGATTTAGGAATAATGTCGCTTTTAGTTAAGTTAAGTTACATAATAGTTTGTGAAATGTCTAAATGCACCTTTTAGACATTTCATAAATTATGGTAAATACAATTATCTAACTTAGTTAATAGTGACATTATTACTAAACACAACTTTTTTTTTATTTCTCTTTTACCGAGTGCAGATGGAAATCATCAAAAACAAGTTACAAAAAACTAGCATAGGGGAAAAAATTTAAATATTTGTGTTTCCCATAATTTGTAAAATGTCTAAACGCACCTTCACACAAAACTATTGCATTACTGCTATTGTGATATTTAATGAATTAAAAATATACTATAGAAAATAAATTATTAATAATAAAATATTATTATCAAACATAGTAATGGTATTTAAAATTTCTGTTAATATAGAACATTATAGTAAAATTACAAACTACAGATTTTTTATCTGTTACAAGAGTCACTGAAGTCAACAAAAGAACCTAATAAAACTTTTTTTATAGTCACTGAAGTCAAAAAAAGAACCTAATAAAACTTTTTTCCAAAGAAATATTATTCACAAATCACTGGTATTCTATAAAAAGAGCAATTCCAAACAATATTTTTTTTTTATTTTCGCCGTATTGAATTCATCAATATCAATGTGTAAAAAGAGTGAATATGAATTTTCAATTTTGAACATCATCTTTGTAAATCATCCGACGTAAAAATGGCGAAAACATCATTTCTAAGTCTTGTGAAATAATTTCTCAAAAATAGTGAATTGTTCTATTCACAGTTTTTACAGAACAACGATATGTAAATATCAATCTAATGGAATGGAATTTTAAAGTTATATATTTTGCTGGAATAAATTAAAAGATATTTTATAAAAACTAAAATAAATCAAGATAATAATTGTACAAAACCTTAATTTTTATCATAATCATTAAATATGCGAATAAAATCCTGGATATCGTAGTTTTTAGAACTATTTAGAAAAAGACCACCTGACATTATATTATAAAATTAATCTTAAATAATATAATAAAATAAATATGACTTAATTATCTATTGCAAAATATAAAACTTGAAAATTACATTCTATTGAATCCTACTTAAACTTCAGAATAATTATATTATCATGACGACTATAACCAATATTATTTTTAAAAATAGGTTTTCTTACCTTTAGTTGCTGATTACTAATATAATAATCTGAAATATAAAGAGAAGAAAGTATTTTCTAATAGTTTATTTCAAAGAATGGAAAAGTCGAACTGCCCAATTCAAAAACCTAGAGCAAGATCTTGCAGCCATTGAGATATTTATTTATTTCATTTTAACTTTAATATTTATAATAAAAAAAGGAAAAGAAAAAATCTCAAACAATTTTCTAACAGTTTTTAAAGTTACTTTATATAATATAAATAAATCTGTCCATTTATCCATTTAAATATCTTCAATTAGCCTAGCGATCTAGGCATCAGTAACGTACAAGAGCAAGTAATCGGAAAATTCATTATCATGGGGAATGTCAATTGAACGGCTCTTGCCGAGCTCTCCTCAGTCGTTCAGTAAATGTTTTTCTATGATTAGTGTAATTTCTTCAAAACATTGCATCGCAATGTTTTCGGAAGGTTAAAATGTCTACAAGATCTCAGCTAACAAAAGATCTGAATGGTAAAACAGTGTTTATTTATTATTTTTAGTTCATGTTTTCTTGTTTATAAACCTTATTAAGGTTTCTTAAGTGATTATTTTTCTAGTTTTGTAATTTTAGTATACCCTTTTTCCATAAGAGATACTTTTGTATGCTCCTAAATCTTACTAAAAGCTTAATCATACTCTGACTCATTATTCAGTTATCTGTTGTGTGTTAAGGAACTTTGATAGGTGATTTATCAATGCTCATAATATAAATACACAAACTTGATGTAAATCTGCATCTGTTATATATTTTGTTCGTTCATGTTTGTTGTTTAGATAGCGTCACTGCTCTATTGGGAAAACGCATAAAAATCTTATTGAAGAATGTAGTAAAACTTGAAACAAAAGGAGATAAAACTGAAAATAGAGTATTGGTATATATTTTCCAGATTTTATGTGTATTAGTAAAATTTTACTTATTTTTTAATTTAATTTATCAATATTTCAGGTATTTTCACCATGTCGTTTATTTTTACTTACTGCGAAAGTCCCAACAAGGGTGAGTCATTAATCATTTTGTTGTGTTTATATTATGGAGTTTTTATTAATATTATCTTTGTGAACTTAGATCGACTGCCATTATCATTACCTGGAGATAAAAGGGATCGAGACAAGAAAAGAAAATACAGTGAGAGTTGATTCCTAATTTTTGATTGTATTTGTGTTGTGAATAGTTCATATTGTTAATGTGTGACAATTGTTTTAGTTGAGTTTCTTGATCGGTGATAAATGGTATACATTCGTGTGTCAAAATGGAGAGGTTGAAACAATGCTACATGCCTTATGTGCTGCGCTGCAAGTCATCTTTCCAGGAGTACCTCTACAGTAAGTAATATTATTTTTTTTACCCAAATGAGACATCTCTTTAAGAATTTTATGCCTTAAATTTTGTCTAAGAAGAAGGCAAAGTATAACATATCAGTTATCACTATTTGAATCAATTAGAACATTAGATTTATATCTAAAATTGTTAATTTGTGGGACCTCATTTATTTGTGATTGCTAATGATCCTTTATCAATTTAAATGTCATTTCACTGTTTGTTATCGGTTAGTTGTCAAAATAACATAAACTAATTTTGTTTATGTCAATGCTAAATAATGAAATATTTCTGTAATTTAAAATTTATAAAATATCATTTATTAATAATTGTAATAGTCTCAACTTTATTACATCACGTTTTGATAATTATTTTAGTTGTCAAAATGATGTGAATGTCATTTAACTTCTAAATAATTAATCTATTATCAGAAACATTTATAAACCAATGTGTTATAGCATCGATACTTCTGGTGCATTTTTTTTTTTTTTTTTTTTTTTTTTTGTATTCTTTGTTCTTGAAACGTATCCAAAACTTTTTAATCCAAATCTGTCAATTCTATTTTTTTAAGGCTTTTACTTCATGTAACCTAAAATTCCAATCCGCAGGCAAGTGGTTGACCGAGTGTCAGTAGATGGCTTCCAACAGATCATTCCAGATCCTCCTCCACAGCCTCCGTGTGGTGCCTTTTCAACCCAGTATGCATGTATGTGTGACTACCATGGGCTTCCATATCGAGAGGAAGTTTCCTGGGTATAATTTTTTTGTAGTTTAATTTATACATCAATTGCAGTCTATTAATTTCTACTTATTTTATGTATTTTCAAGTGGTGAATTCTGTTGTTTAGAATTATTTTGTCATCATGTTTTGTTTTTATCAATATTAGTGGTACTCCGTTTACTTTTGTGATATTCTTAGTCTAATATTAATTTAACTCCTTAAATAATAAAATATTAAATTTTATTTCAAATCTGAGATACGTTTCTATGTATAAAGGTTTCTGTTTTTTGTTTTTTTCCTAAATATTCCAAAAAAATAATATACTCTTGGACTGTATCATAGGTCATTAAATGGGATGGGATTATATTTCAAAATTTATTTGATATACATACATACATACACGCACATATATTTATATTTTATTTTATTAATACATTCCCTACATTTATATACTTCTAGCTTTTGGATCAAATGAGGTGAAATTTGTTATATATGGTTATATTATAGGTAGAACAATTCCTTGAAGTGGTAAGCTTAAATTTCAGTAAACAGTTTATTAATACAAGTGTTTTTTTGCAGTTTTTAACCTCTGCTGCACTTCAAAATTTATAGGGTTGAAAATTTGTATGAGAATAGTGTAGGACAATTTCATTTTGGATATCTTAACTTTTTCTTACATCCCATCATTTTCTTCTATTTTTTAAAAAATATATTTTTGAAGATTTTGATATCTTAAGCTCCTTCAGTTTGTAAATTAATTAAGTTGGAGGTTTCTATTTTTTTTTTTTTTTTTCTCTGCCGTTTTGATTGATCAAATTCTGAAATGTTTAACATCGAAACATAAGAAAGAAATTTAACAATTCAATTTATTTAAAAATGTGATTTAGTTTCACGAGGCATCGATTAATGAAACAAATCAGTTAATATCTTTTTTACAAACAAAAATTTATAGCAAAATACAACCTCCGTCAGTGAGCTTCATCACTTACTTTTTTTTTATATTACCTGTGCTCTTCATTATTATATATAATTTGGATGCATGTTGTTAATTTTGTTTATTTGAAAATTTGATATATTTACCTAAGATCATTTAAATAATGTTTTTAATTCACAAATGATCAATAATGAAGTTATTAGTGTTAAAGGCAAAGTATGGTTATCTCTTATCAGTTTTAACCGTTACTGATTTAGACGTTTACATATTTCATAATATGTAATGTTGGTTGTATTTATTTGCAAATATGAGCTAAACAATATGCTTCTGTATAATATTTGATAGATAAATTGTTATTTTAGAGATTTGTAAATAATTAACGATCATATTTTTTCATTAGGATGTGGATACTATTTATGTCAGTCACAATACAAGAGAACTTTCTTTAAAAGATTTCGATCATCTTGAACCTAAGTAAGTATTGAAATATTTTTGAGCATTTGAAATAGCGATGTCATAGCCTATTTTTCATATGATTTCTCTCTCAGGGACATGGTGCCGATCATCAGCGCTCTTGAACATAACAGATGGTTCACCGGGTTCAAAGCTGCAAACGTGAAGCTTACTCACGAAGCTATGGATCGCATTCTCCATGTGTTTTCCAGGTCTATTACCCTCGAATCACTCACCCTTCACAACCTCTCTCTTAAAGCGTATGTAATTTTATAATTTGTTTTTAAGATATATCAGATAACCTTATGGTATATTCCTAATACTTGCTATAGTGACTGTAACTTTTCCTTTTCATTCTAAGAGGAAAAAATGAAATTTGTCTTCACAACAAATTTAAATATTTAGGTTTTATAGTTAGAAAAAATTTAAAAATTTGTTTTGCATGGTTAGTTACCAATATTGTAAGAGAATCGGCATGCCATTACACCTAAATATTTAATAAATTTGTAGTGAATATTGTAAATGTTCTAATATTGGCGAATACCTCTGAATTGACAATGCAGAGAGAGAAAAAAGATTGCTTGAAAATTATAATTCTTTAATTATTAATTATTGATTTATAACTCATTTGATTTGATTATTATATTCACTCCTCATTTATTAATGTCACAACTGTGATTACTCTGATATAAAGAAACATATATAACCAGCTTTAGTACAAAATAATCATTAGTAGATGTAGATGATAATTTTATTCTATCTTCATTTATTTTCAATAGTAGTTTCATTCCCAATAACTGATTTAAATCAAATATTGTCATAAAAACTAGTCAAATAACGTTTCAGATTACATCATGATTTTATTTTACATATATTTTAATTTGTACAATTAAATCGCAAGAGGGTGAGAAAAAAAAATCACATTAATTTGTATCTCAATAAATTGTTGTATTGTATCAATCTACAAACTATATTATTATATTTATTATCCTTTAAGCTTTACAAGAATTTTTTTCTTTTTCAGTGATTTTATTAACCGCCTTTGCACTGCAATAACTTCTAATCCAAATACTCCATTGAATGCTCTTGATCTCTCAAATAATCCTACCATTGAAGATAAAGGTGATTATTGTTTTGTTTATTAATGAATTACATTAAGCCTTTTTTTTTTCTAAATTATTGACTTTTGGTGAATAAGGAGTAATGATAATTCTATCTTCCTCCTGCATAGTGGAATTTAATAACAGATATAGTTACCATTGCAAAAATTTAGTGATACAAATAAAATAAAAAAATTAAACAGTAAACAAAACAAAACTACAATGTAATCATGTAATGCAATATTACTACTCTTAACTAATTTTTTTTTTGTTTAATTTTCTTGGCTTTATCAAATCTTGTTTAGCATGTTAGCTGCAGTTACGGTCCCCGAGTTCCGATATTCATCTCGATTTCGGCTGGGATTGTTTCGAATTTTGAATCCTACGATAAGAAGTCTCTAAAATAGTCATTTTTAAAGATATTTGATTGAGAGTTGGGTAGATGTAAAGATCGATACTAACGTAAATAAATAATCTTTATACCTGATATAAAGCTATCAGACACCGGGAACGTAACCCCAGCTAATGTGTTAATATTGTAGATAAATGTTTCAAATTTTGTTTTATATTTATTGAATAAATGATGATAAAAATATTAAATATATGTAATAATGTTTAATTAAAATAATCAAGAAATCAAATGAATTATTGTTTAAAAATATATTATCAGAAATATTGATTGAATAGAATTGATGGATTATTGACTATGATGAAGATTACAAATAATAGTTTGTTATGGATCATTCAGTTAGGATTATGATAATTGAAAAATTATATAAACAGAAGAAAACTGTTATTATAAGTTAACTTGGCTGATCCATAGAAATTTATTAGAAAATTTATATATCAAGTTTTATAATGATAAATTTTATAATAACTATAGAATAAAAAAAAAGAAATACATCAGCATCAATAAAAGAATTGATTAAGCCACATACTTCATTTAAATATTATTAGAGAATTTGTTTTTTATTTGGTTATTAATTTTATGCTTTATTATTTTTTTCAGGAGTTTACGGCATTTGTACGATTCTCACAAAACTTGTTCAAGGTGATTTTTTTTTAAAGTTATCTGTTTTGTAATGTATTTATTTTAGTAAACTGGTTCATCTTAAAATGAAAGCTTGCTTGTCTGCGAATTATCTATTACTGTAACAATAAATTCATCCCAATCAACTCTACTCTATTCGGATTTTGAATTAGTATTTTTATATTTCATTTTACAATTTTGATTGAACCAGTAGAATTGTTACACATTGTTATTCCTATGGGGCGTGACAGATATGTTGTAACATGATAGAAATGTTACACATTACACAATGGGGCATGCACTTGCCTAGCAGCACTTCACTTGTTATGAACATCAACATGAAGGCTTGATGGCTGGTTCGTAAAAAAAGCATGGTCCGTCCTCATTAATTGCGAGAGAGATGTGAAAATGTTTAGCTGGTGATGGACAATATTTGTAATTAAATATATTTAAACATTTTCATATGCAATAAATGTGTATTTTCTATACGAATCACTTGAAATAACGATTTTTGTTTTTACTGTAACAGAAGGTAAAGGGATCAGTCACTTGAACCTGAGCCTAACAGGTCTCAGCCCAAAGGGAGTCTCGCTGCTGACCCAGACATTAGCTAATCTTAGGCCCCTCACGCTGACCTACCTCAACCTCAGTGGAGCAGCGATTAGGGAAGACATCAATGTGAGTATTATAGATTATCAGTATCATAATAATAAAAATAATATCCTTACATGATGTATACTATTATATGAATAATTTACAAAAAATAATTATATTTTTATTATTGTCTACTCTTAAAATTTATATTGAGGAGAAGGATGGTTGGGGTGTTCAGTCAAATTGAAATGGTAAAAAATAAATAATTTTATTTATTTTTCCATTCGCCGATGTTTCGGCCCGAAGTTCAGGGCTGGAAAAAAAAATGTATATTATTTGTTTTGTTTTTTTCCCAAAATGTCAGCTGCACAGCTCAGCTATAATTCCTTTAATGTCTTCTAGACTTCTTTTCATTCCAAAATTACTTTGGATTAAGTATGATTTCTGTTATTCCAAAAGGGCATGCTTGACAACATTTTTAATGCTTGTCAAGAACATGACAGTTTCCACAGGCTGGAGCCTTATGGCCTTGTAGGAGGTAGCTATTATTCTACAAAGCATGACTTCTCTTCTGGAGCTAGAAGAGAAAGTCTTGAGTTGTTAATAGGCATTCATTAATTTCTCCTTGTTTTAATTCATTCCTTGTTTATATTCCATTTTTCTTTCCATTTAGAACGTAGTTGGTGCTCATAGGTTATGTCTAGTCCTCTTACGATATTGTGTAAATGTTTCTTAATAAGTGCTTTCTTTTACGATCCGTATGAATAACTTAAGTTTGTTCTCAATGGGACGAATACCTTAGAACATCAATTATCCTCCACCTGAAAGTACAATATTTTTTTTTTAATTTAGCGGATTTTCTAAAATTTACATTTTATTTATTTATTATTACTTTTTTATTTCTTAATGATATTTCCAACTGTATTAAAGAAATATATTTAGTAAATTTGAACATATGGATATAATGACGTGAAAACACTTGTTGAGAAACTATCCAATGGTAGCACTCTAATGATATGTCTACATTAGGAGATCACGGGACCATCTTCTTTTCAGACGCCTCAGGAGGTTATCAGGAATTGAAGAGGAAGCAAGGTTAAAAACGAGAGGGTTGGGATGATTCTGAAGTTTATTATGGAAGGATAAGTATCTGGATTGGGTCAGATCTGAAACATAAAAAACATTAAGGTCATTATGTATGGTTTTATTTATAACAAAATAGGGAGCATGAAGGATTTTGGATTGGGTACAAGAGGAATTCGATAGTTTAGTGGAGCCCCATAGCTCAACTCCGTAAGTCCAAATAGGCCTTATTATAGTGATGTATATATGAGTCTTTTGTAATTAATTGGAAGTTTAGAGCGTTTGTCTAGCAAGTGCTGAAGTAATCGGAAACGTCGAGTGGTTTGTTGTCTTTTCAGTCTGCTATGAGCATTCCAAGTTAAATGTTTGTCCAGGTGGAGTCCTAGGTAGCGGATTCGCTCAACAGGGATAAGTGGAGTATTGTTAAAGGAAACTGTCTTGGTTTACGACTAAGGGTAAAGGTAATTTGGTGGGATTTATTGGAGTTTATTTTAAGTCTCCAGTTTTGACACCATTCTTCAAGATTTATGATGTGTGATTGAAGCATTTGATGGATCATTGTTTACTGATATTAGTTAACCTAAATTACTCTTTAGAATCATAATTTTTCTGAGAATAATTGGCTTTTTTTTTATTATGAAATTTTTAATGTGTGTTTTTATATTCATAATTTATGGCAAAGTTAGTTCAACAAGTATTTAGCTCTTATGATTTTTTTTTTACTGAAAATTATTTGCGTTATTCTATTTTACAGGGTTTGCTCAGCCTTTTGGCAGAACCCAATGCAATTACTCATCTAGACATTTCCAGCACTGAGATTGTTTTAGATACGGTAAGTAACCTATGATTTTTTTTATTTTTGCATGTTTTTATTAATATTAGTAATACGCTTTACCAATCATCCAATAGGTGTTCGGAGCGTTGTTGCGGGGCTGTTCTACTTCTCTGGTCCACTTGAACCTTTCTAAAAATGGTTTTTCCGTTAAGAAATCGAAAGAGATGCCTCCATCCTTCAAACAGTTCTTCACCAGCACCCTCTCACTGAAGTATCTTAATATTTCTCACTGCAAATTGCCTATGGAGGCTCTCAAGTAAGTGATTTTTTTTTTTTTTTTTTAGTGAATTATCGAAGGAAGCTAGTCGACTATTCTACATATCATGGGTATTAATATTTACGACGCAGTCATTATACAAATTTTTTATTTGTGCCGACGTTTCAACCCAAATATGTGGGTAATCACCAGGACGTGGTTCGAGGACTGAGGGTTTTCAAGTACTGGAACCACGCCCTGATGATGACTCACATGTTTGGGTTGAAAAGTCGGCACGAATAATAAATTTTTATAATGACAGCCTCCTGAATATTTATCGCCCATTTTATTTTTTTTACTTTACTTCTTGGTTGACTTAGGTGAATAATGGAATTGAAAGATTGATATAAAGTTTTAAAGTGTTCTTAGCTTTATAAGTTATTATTATCGTCTTTAATAATAATGATTGGGATTAGGGGTCACTGAGTAGTAGAAATTCTATTAGTATTACAATATTACTTCCTTTTTATGATTTATTTATGGAATCAAAATAAGTATGATTGATCCAAAAACTTTATAATGATGTAGAGATGGTTGACCGTGATATAATATGAGAAGGATTTGATCGGGGGGGAGGGGGGAGAAGGAGGGGGGGTTCAGTCAAATAAATATCAAATTATACAAATAGTATTATTTAATTTTTTTAATTTTAACTCTCACATCACACCAGTGTTTTCACTGCCTCCCGCAGTGATACATCCTATGCCCTGATGAAGACCTGCAAAGTAGGTCGAAACATCGGCAAAAATTAAATAATACTATTTGTTTGTATAATTTAATATTTATTTGACCGAACTCCCCGATCAACTTCTTCTCAAAAAACTCTATCTTTGATATCTTTCTATTGTGTTTTGTAGGGAATTCATATAACCTTTCGTATGAGTGAATATGCACCCTACAAACCCCTATAAAGAAAAAGTAGTATCTATTAATATATAGAGTATTGAACGTAGCTATTTTATGTCAATACAACTAATGTTTATATTCACTCAATTAAATTCTGTTTGAACCTATATCAACAAGATTAGATATAATTCAATCCAAAAACTTTGTATTTTAATGATCTCTATAAATTCATTTGTTAAAAAGTATAATAATCCCTTTTCGAAAGGAGATTAAAAAATTCTCAGTTATATTCTTTTATTAAAGATTCTGTAAATAAAATTTTCAGATTGAGAATTTAGAAAAATTTGACTCCTCATCTCAATAAGTAATTGAATCGTTTATTTTAGAAACATCACAAGTTCAAAATCATTCAAATATACTTTTTAAGTAAAATCTTTCTATGAAAAGATGGAAGAATTTGATTTTATTATACATGATATATTTTGGGATTTAAGCAGTCGAATTATAGTGTGGAGACAGATTTGTCTAGATCACTCAGAACCTATTTTTTTTCGCTTATATGCTTTCTAAATATGAATCGTATGACAGTTTAATTGTCTGAATGCTTCCATGTATATGTGCTACTTTATTTATTAAGAATACAGTACAGATCCACACCAATTATATACTTGTAGCTGGAAAATATAAATCATATATAAAAAAAATGTATTAAGAATTATTTTTCCTAACAGAAACCTGCTCCTGGGTTTAGCCTGCAACGAATCAACTGTCGGCCTCGATCTGGACCTAAGCTGCAATGCGTTGGGTGCTCATGGAGCTCACGTCCTGGAGTCGTGTATCCATGGTGTCCGTGCTTTGTCATCACTGGATATATCAGATAATGGTATTATTTTGTTTTATTGTTGAAAAGTTGATTGAAATACTCGTTTAAACCTCTTGTCACATGTTGCATTGAAATATATATTTAATCCAGGCCTAGAAGGAGAGCTCGGTGGAGTGGTTGCAGCCGTAGGTAAGAACAAGTCCATTGTAGAACTGAAGCTATGCCGAAACCTTGTTGGAATGAAACCAAAGCATATAACTCCCGTTATTGAGTCTATAGTTCACACTATACAGGTATTTTACTTTAAATTACTCCAACTATAGTGATCAGATTTTTGTTGTAACAGTCATTATCTCTTGTTTATATTTTTAAATTTCAATCATAATAATAGCATCATTTCATTTAAATGCTTTCAAGCTGACAGTATCATTATCAGTATGGCACTTTCCTATATTTTTTTTTTATTGTGGCAAAATGCACCTCGGCCATGAAGGCCTATTGTACGCCTCTATTAAAGTCACTCCTATTAGAGCGTAATTCATGCAGTCTCGATAAACTGAAGTAGGCTTATTGAGGTGACAAGCTCGTATGTCTTGGGATCAATCGCCCTACCAATGCCTAACAAACTGAACCTCAATTCAGCAAACCTGTCGCATCAAGTGATATGATAGGCAGCTTCATAATAAATTATGTATATGATTGGAAATAAAAATGTATAATGATATAAAATATAAATGAATGGAAAAATCAGCAGATATGTAAAATAAAATTAATGTTTTAATTGTAAAAGAAATTAAATTGTAATATAATAATGATAATTTTTCAAGCTTGAAAATGGCCATGTCCAAATTTATTATAATAAAATAAATCCTTTTTCATTGAGTAAAATAGAACTGAGCTAGGCATGGCCTTGTTTACTTGTACAGTAATCAGATTATTTTCATAACCGGCTCAGTACATTTTCATGAAATTTCACAGAAGATGTAAAAAATATAAGATTGTATCCTATTTGGCTTAAGAAATAAGAACCTATTTTTAACCTGTAATAAGAACCTATTTGTATACTGCTCATTTGCAGCTTTGCTAGGTGATGTAGAGCATAGAGAACCTTTGAAAAAAAAAATGGTAAAAGATGTGAATTGAGTCGGTCTTGGAAGAAAATGCTGATCTTCGATCGAAAGTAGAACTTATTATATTGAAAGTCAATATAAAATTTCAATTTTTCCAGATATTTTCAATCAAATACTAGAAACTATATTACTACTAATTAAATATTATGTGTTTTGTTTCATAATTAAGGTATGTTTTTTGAAAATTTGTCTCTAACTTATTAAACTCATGAATAATTAATTTTATTTATTTTAGGAAGAAGATTGTCCTCTTCAGATGCTCTCTCTTGCCGATTGTAAACTTAAGTCTGAAATTCACCCTGTAATTAATGCTCTAGGATCTAACCAATGTCTTAACACTTTAGATATTAGGTATGTTTTATAAGTTGACTCATTTTATTTATTACATCACCTATGTTTACTAATCTATATAATATTTATATTTATTGTTCTTAAATTTTTAGTGGAAATGGAATGGGAGACTTAGGTGCTAGACTGTTAGCTAAAGCTCTTCAAACGAACTGCAAACTGAGAAGCATCCTTTTCGACAGGAACAACATTTCTCTACAGGGGTTCGCTGACATAGCTTATGCCATGGCCAGGTATATGTGAAGTGATTTTTTTTAATATGTAAAGAATGGAAGATGTTCCTCCATTTTAATAATCCACAAGTCATTTTTGGAGTGAAAACTTCTTTAGATATGTTTTACACTTTTTTTGGGAAGATTAAATTAGATTGAGCCTTCAGATTTCCGATGTTTAACGGTCAGATAAAGTCGGCTGGAGTCAATTAATTGAAATGTTTTTGCATATGGATTAAAATATCTCAAAAACTAAAAATCGGACCTGCATATTGTTAGTGAGGAAAATGTTCATCCTGTTTGTAATGAGCTATTATTCAAATTTGTATCTTAATGCGATGCCGTATTTGAAAGGTGAAGAGGGAAAAAAAGTGTCGAAAACCAAATTATAACAAGTTTTATTGAAGATGTGGATTAAAATATTTCAGAAATTAAAACTCAGACTTGGATACTGTAAGTGAGGGCATTGTCTAACATTTCATCCTCTCTGTAATAAGCTGTTATTTATAATTTATATTTCATATTATTAATCTCGTCTTGTTGATATTTTCACTTCTATTGTGTGATCTAAAACAGATGCCTTAATTTTTTTCCTTTTTTTTATTTCTAATGCTAATTAATGAAAATCTTTAAGCTAATTACAAAAAATTGTATGTAATAGGTGTTGCAATGACCTTGGCTGTATATATATTCATTTTTCATAAATCAAGGCCGTTTTCCAACGATGTTTTAGTTGGTCTATTATATCATTTTTGACAACTTTCGGACAGCGCTTGGGCCATTTTCAAGTCTGAAAATTTGTTATTATTATATTACAATTTGATTTCTTTCACAATTAAAACATTAATTTTATTTTACATATTTTCAGCTACTGATTTTTTCATTCATTTATGTTCAATATCATTATTTATTTTCTATTTTTATTTATCTATATTTATATGAATTTTATTATTACCTTAACTCAGTCCTCTAATATCATATCATTATTCATTATCCTTCATTTTGTAGCTAAGAAGTAAAATGTCCTATTATTTTTAGGCTTTCCCTTTGTAAATGAATGAAATTATCAGTAGGTGAATAAGATATATAAAATTAAATTAAAGTTTTAATTGTAAAAGAAATCAAATTGTAATATAATAATAACAAATTTTCAGACTTGAAAATGGTCCAAGAGCTGGCCGAAACGTCAAAAATGGTATAAAATAAATAAAACATTATTGGAAAATGGACTTGATTTATGATAAATGAAAACCTCACCTGATACACCCAAAATAGACTAAATGAACAGAATAATTTTTTTTAAAAGTTATAACCTCATGTCATTTTATTGAATTAATTTTATTAATGAAGATTTTGGAGCTCTCATTTTGTGAATTTTTTTATTTTTCAGCAATTATAGTGTTGTATATGTGGGTTGCCTACTCCATGACGTTCTGCCTTGCATGAAACTTTCTCCAGAAAAGACTGAACAAGCTCTGAGTTCCATTTATAAAGCTCTCTATCGTAATTCAGATCCTAATAACACGCAGGCTCTGAGGCGGCAACACGTGAGTAAATAGCACTGAACCATAAGCTTTAGCAATAAATTGGAATGCATTTAATAAAACAATACTGGGATTTGATTGTCCTATATCAACAGGTGTAAATAATTTGCACTTCTCACTTTTCCTTGCATTGATGTTAACCTGACCTTCCATGGTTTTAAAACATTTGTTCACATGCTTTAATTGCTTTTTGTATGTTTTGTTCGTGAAGAGTACTCGTATTTGTTAAAGTAAATCACTTATGTTTAATTCCTGTACACTTTTTGAGTCATGTTTAACAGAAAAAAAATATATCGAAGGTAGTCCCCCATTTGTCCTCAGAACTGTGAATCATATTAAAACTCGAAATAGTATCGGATTTATATTTTATATAAAAATATTTATTTTGTATTAATATTATTAGACTAATTATTTTTTCTACCTTTTATTGAATAAACGGTAATGACATTTTACTATCGTGAAAATTAAAATCATTATTAAATGAATTTATGTTTTTATTCCTGGATGAAAATTTATATTTGAGTCCTTGCTCACTAAATTGATCAGTTTTTCTGTGATGTGATAACTATGAAGAAGTTTTGCACGTTAACTCTTTACAGACCGTCCTGGTGAACTGCGGACAGCAGACACTGGAGCGTGCTATTGCTCAGGCCCAAGAGACCATCAAAGTCGTGTCTGCTAACAACAACGATCATACAGCTGCGATTAATGCCGCAACAGCTCTCGTTGAAGACGCAGACAATGCTAAACAGGTTAACACTTGTTTTTGATTTTTGTCTTGGGGAAAAATTATGGCATTCCAAACCAGTAAATTTATATATGACTCTTATCTCTTTGCCGAGATTTTTTTATATTGCATTTTTATGAAATCAGATTATTTTTAAATTCATATGTTCATTGTCGAAAGAAGTAGAATATTAACAACTGCCGTTTTAGTCAATCCTTTTTTTGTTAGTGATTCCTTGGGGTTTATATTCATATTTCTACATTTTTTTTTTCATTCTGCTCGGTGTGAATGAAGTGATTTAATGTTGATTCCTAATGTCACTTGTGAAATTAGTTTGTTCTTTGTGCAAATTTTATAAACCATTGTCTCTTAAAAGTGATTAAAAAATATTTGTCTAGATATATGTTTTAGCTATGAATACTTTTCCGTGTGACGTGTGTTGCTTTTAAATCAATAACTGATCAATATTTACCGAACTAATTTACGTTTTTTTTTTTTTTTTCAGTAAATAATGCAAACAAATATCTTTAAAAATTAATGTTTTAATAATATTTATGGACTAGGTTTTCTCTCATTTTGGGAAAGTTCGAGAATAAAAAAATTGCTTAAAATTTAATTGTTGTTAAATTTCCTAATTGAAAATTTGATGTTCTGGTAGTGTTAAATATTTGAATTGATTGGTACTGGCTAGGGAAGATAAGTAAACTTATAATTTTGCCATTACAAAATTATCTAGTATTCGCCTTTTTTTCCAAAAACCTGTTGAAGATGAAATTTTAAAAATTACTCTACTTGCTACTATTCATTAAGATGTAAAGCGTGGCCTTCAATATAAAAAGAGAAGTGCAATGCTTTAAAGTTTTATAAAATGAAATATTGTGTACTATCTTTAAGCAGAAGAAAAATGAATCACCTGAAGAATTTAGATCTGTGTTAAGACACAGACAGCTATACAGTGCTGAATTGAGTGAACTGCACCTACTAAATGTAATTGAGGTGATAGTATCTTGGAACGCAATGGACTTATAAAGTTGTCGGAATGTTAACAAATGAATCAGGTTTACTGAGCCTTAATTTATAATTTAATTAATTTTTTGTGAATCATGAAGTGGAAAGTTTTTTACTTACACAAAGTTTTAAAGAAAAGCACTGAATATATTTCACATGCACATTTAAGAGCACAACAGAGAGAGAAAGTGGTGATGGTTTTCTTAGTACTTTATAATCTGTATCAGTAATGATGTTTGGATTATTTTATTAACTAGATAATCATCTTATCTTATATTGTATTAGTATGGTGGTAAAGTAGGATAGTAACACGATCACTTGATAGAACGAAATGTACACGGTATACTACTTGACTACCAGAGTGCAGCCTTTTATTAAACTACAGCAACACTTCAAGGCAGCTACCGTAATATTTCGTTATTATAGATTTATGTGGTGTATTTACAACAAAATTTTCATCAATACCAAGGAAATACAGAAAGAGGTAACAAAACATATCTCCTGTGATAAATAATAATTGAATTGAGTTATATAAATTGGGCAGGAGTTTAGAATATATTGTTCAAAGAGTGAGCAGAAAAACATGAGATGAGCCTTCCAAGAATAGAGGAAGAAGGCTTTTTATTTCTAATATATAGGAAAGTCGCCAAGAAAACATTGCTATTAAGAAGCAGGATAAGATATACTTTGGTCAATGCTCAGGCACAAGAGTATGTCAAGCAAATGGTGCTCACTTTCAGCTATCTCCAGATTTAATACAAGCAATTAAATCCACATATAGGAATACATAAAAGATTCATAAGGATTAATGGCAAAGAATTCAAATCATTCCCTCTTGATATAGGGGTCAGACAATGAAACATTCTTAGTCCTCTCCTATTTTTAGTCTTGATGGACGAAACTCATAAAATTTGCATGTGCAGAACAGCATGGACTGCAATAGGAAAATGCAGAAAGTTCTTGTAAAATGTCTCGTATATGCAGATGTTATAGTCCTAATTGCACACTGCAAAGAAAAGTTGCAATAAGCACTGGAGGAATGAAAAGCGGAACTGCTATGGAAAGGAATCAACGACTCAAAAAGTAAGGTTTTAGTTATCTTGCAAAATAAAGAAGACCGAGAAGATCCTAGAGGCAGTACTTGAGTTGAACTACTTGGGAAGCATCTTAGGTACCTCTGGTAGGATTGACCAGGAAATAGCTAATAGGATTTCTAAAGCAAACCAGGTGTACTACCAGATAAATAATAGAGTAACAGCACACCGTGAGGCAGGAAGGGATGCTAAGATGCACATATATAAAACTATACACCTACCACTCCTTACATATGGCAGTAATAGGTAGTTGCTGCTGGACAGGCATGTCTGCCGAATCACTGGTACTGAGATGATGTGAATGGATGACAAGGCGAGACTGCCTCGGAAGAATTGCCTTCATTGAAAAATATCAAGGAAAACAGACAGTTAAATTGCTTTGTCAAATGGATGAAGTGAGAGAACCCAGAAGGGCATCCACGGATAGAAGACCACGTGGCTGGCCATGAATCTCCTATCAGAAATACATCCAGAGGATTGTTGGTAACAGAGGCAAGACCCTCGCAGAAATGAAACAGCTGAGCAGCGACCGGGAAAATTGGCTGCGCTGGATCGAGGCTTCTCTACATCAATATGCTAAAAGAGGAAGAGAAAGAAGAAGAAAGAGTTTTCATTCAAATTTCACATTTTTAACCAGCACAGGACCACTTAATAAACCAGCACATTATTTATGATTCAGCTGTTCATCTGGTCAATTGAATGTGTGGAGGGAAACAGTTTTCATTTCCCTACTGCCTTATTTTTGTGGACGATTTCTAGGGGTTGAAAGTGTTGGTTTAGGTATTAGTGTACATGGATCCATAATGTTTGCCGAGGAGAGTGTTGTTGGCTTGGGTTATTATAGTGTATAGATAATCTCTGCTTGTTTTATTTGTGTCTCATTACTAAAATTAATATTTTGTAGATGAATATTTCATTTAAAAATCAGATTATTTATACTAATTTTTTAATAACTGTCTAAGATGTTACTTTTACCATTTTTTCATTATTAATAAAACTTAGCAATGCACTTGTATTTTTTTTATTTTTTGTTAAAATAAAATAAAAGTTTAAATTTTGTCTATTGTTTAAAATTTATAGATTTATTTTTAATAAAATAATTTAATGAGTCGGTCATTGATTAAACTTTAAATATGGTACTGTTTTTGATAAATAAATGGATATCTCCATGTAGTTCTAATATACTTATGCAAAATATTAATATTAAAATCCACAGTAATTAGGTCTTGTTTTAATGGAGATGGACTAAATGTGATTGGATGGACTTGAGGGCCTGTATACCCTTACAGTACCTTCTGTAGCGAATATTGAGACTACTGCAGTAATTTAATAAGTTTCTTTGTTGATTTCATGTATTTATAAATTTTATTTTAAAGAGTCAGATGTTGAGTAAATATAAAATGACTTTTAATAAGGCGATACCTCCATGTAGGTATATATTAGTTGAGTAAATATAAAGTGACTTTTAATAAGGCGATATCTCCATGTAGGTGTATATTAGTTATGGAAAAAAATACTTTAATGTTAAAATTAACACTAATATTCTTGGTTCAAAGCACAAGTTGAAAGCACCCTTATTTTATCATTTGTAGCGAATTTGATAGACTACTGCAGTAATTTAGTCGATTTTATGCTCTTGTAAAATGCAAAGTAATAATGTTTTAAATATCTTATTGTAAAGACTTGAAGGTCAAATGTTATACTATCCTGCTGTTACTAATCTGTTATGTATTATTAATGCTTTACTAATTTCTACAAGCTTTAAAATGAAAAAAAAAATAATTGAACAATAAACTTCAAAAAAATTTTATGTTATTTTTTTAAAATTGGTTTTCATTAGTTATTTCATTGGTAGGTGTTTGCAAGACTTCAAGACATTGCTGAAGGAGGTGACCTCACTACACCGATTCAGCAAAAACTTGCATCTGCATCACATGAAGTTGCCTCAATACTTCAAAAACATGTCTCTGTATGTGATTTATTACTTCATTAATTTTGTTTTTCTGTTGTTGTTTTTTTTATTTCAAACTGATTATTTTGCATTTTGCAGTTGTCTTTGCTTTTGGTCTTAAATATTATCTCTTACATTATGGCATTTTATGTACGATCTATTACTTTTTAAGTATATTTTTTATGTTGCATTCCTTAGGGACGTGTTGATGAGATGATCACGACGGCTGAGGAGTTGTGTGGTCAGCGAGTGATGTCCGAACGTCTGAAATCAGACCTGAGAGCTTCGGTCGCTCCACGGCTGGTTGTGGACCAGGAGTTTCTGTCATCAGTTGTTGTTACTCAACCAACGACTCAGCTTTCATTGAAAGCAAGGTATTTTTTGTGTTGTTACTATAATTTTATTTAATCATAAGGTATTAACATTACTTATTTTATATCTTAAGCCCTAAAGAATATGGGTTTAATATCAGGGGGATGAAGGATTTAAGTTGAATGGGATCTCTAATGCATGCAACAAAATGCAAATTGATTTCCGTAATTTTTTTTTTTATCACTACGAAAATGTTTGTCTGTATCTACGAACTAGTTAACATGTGGTAAAGCATTACTTGAATTAAGTCATATATTCTAGCTTATCTTGTTGGGTTTATTGCTAAACATTGTTACATAACATTCCTCAAATAAAACAGACCCTTTTTTTTATCAAATTATTGACGTCTGCCTAAAACCACACGAATGGCTTCATCTTATCATAACCTACAACTTTTTTATTAAAGAAAATTCTCGGAATCTGGATTTTTTCAATTGGGAGATCAGCAGACTTTGTCTATTTAATTAGATACCAGATAATTAGATAAAAACTCATGAACGCCCATTTGTTTTTCCAATTGAATCGTATAGATAATTTGGCCACAAAATCAAGAAAAAAACCTACAAAAATATTAGGCTATTTAGCATGACCTCCAATCCCAAAATATCAAAATAACAAGGTTTTATTGGCCAAATGCCATGAGAAAATGCTCCATTTCTGAGAATTTTCATATATAAAAAATTTGTCTATATGGCAGATGTTAATAATTTAATAAAAATTGGTCAGTACCATAGACTGTAAATCAACGGTATGCACTTTAATCAACATCATCTTATCATTAAATATATCTTTATTTATTTTTATTTTTTAGTGAAATGGGCCTAACTGCTGCAACCCACTTAGCTGAAAAAATTACTGATGAAGTTGTGGATTTGCTCAATAAAACGCAGACTTGTTTGGTAATGATTTATTATTTAGTTGAACAGTTGCGAGTGATTCATATAACAAATAAATATTATTTTAAAAGTTGTGTTTTTTAAATAGATCAATAATTTATCTAATTTTTACCTATATTTGGTATGGTTTATAAATGTTCTTAATTATACAAGCTTAGTATTATTGTGAATAAAAAAATGTTTAAGTTATTTCCTGATATAGAAATGAAACACTGATTCTTATTTCATGAAACAGTGATTCTTATTTTGATTATCAGTAAAATTATTTTATCCTTCTTTTGCAGAAATGATTTGCATATAATGTATTGTTGGTTAGCCTATAAGAGACTTGTGCACTTGGTTTCATAAAAATTGGTTGACATTGGTTCTAATGTTCTGATTTTAATTAAAATATATAACTTGATCAACTAGATATAATAACCAGATATTTCAGTTGGTGTAATTCATATAAACACAAAAAAAAATACATATACTTAGTCATTAATGATTTTGTGTACTTAAATTTTGAAATTCTAATGATATGTCATATTATAGGTGGGTGGGAAGAGGAGTTCTACTCCAGATGTTCTGCGAACCATGCCTCGCCAGATTAATGACCCCCTACATCCTTTGGTAGGTTGTGTTATTGGAACATATTAAAATGTGTTGATTGAAATTAATTTTTTGTAGATCATTGAAAATAAAATTGGCATTTTTTTTTATTTTCTGTGCATTAGTTAAAAACTAAGCAAGTTTTGGAATTGCTGTAGACGCATTACACTTTAGCTACAGACGTGAGATGGGATTTATTTTTCATGCTCTTTTCATAATAAAAAAGTTTATTAACTTAAGATAAAAGAAAATTTCTGAAAATCCAATTTAAATTTATTTTTTTACTAATTACAAATTTTAAAATTTATTATTTGAATATTTTTTAAATCACAGGGTGAAATATAAAAATGGTATGATAATGGTTTCTGCGTCAAAGAAAAATTGAAGAATAAGTCTAAACAATTACAACAAAGCTAATATTGGCATTTTAATGAAAACAAGCATTGATTGTAAAGATCATTCAAAATGGCATCCGTCTTGTGCCTCTATCAAATTAGGAAATCTTTAACAGCAATCCAAAACTTTTTGTTATTTAATATTTATTCATTATTAAGTATTATATTTAATGTAATTTGTGTTTTCATAGTTCTGTTGTGTTTATTTTGTATTTATGATTTCCAAATATTTCTTTCAAGTTGACTTTTTCCACATTGCAATGGTATGAAGGTTTAATTGTAAGAATATAAGAATGATTATTACATATTATATTTTAATTGTATAGTTTTTTAATGATTTATCACAATTAATGGTGCGATTGTTCTATTATTGCAATCAGAAGCTGGAGTATTTGAATTTGGTAAGTTTTGATGTATTTTTTTTCCTTCAGATTCTTTCTTTTAAATAAAATAATTAACTATCTGGTAGTTTAATTCTGTTAGTGCCATTTTGGGGTGGACACTAAATCCCTCATTTTTAAATATAGATTTAAATCCAGTTGTGGATTCAATTCTCATAGGCATCAATTAGTATTTTTTTCTCTGAGGCCCCGAGAAATGAATCTTGACACTCCTCTGGTTAGTGCGTAGTGTCAACTTAAGCTACACATCAGCGGTTGGAGTATTCCCCAGCATTACATTTTTATTTTTTTGTTTCCCTTCCTTGCTTTTTAGAGGCTACACGGGGTTTTTCCTGGGCCAGCGGGAGAGGGCAGGGAATTATGCTGAGTTAAAAGTTAAAACTACCGGACATTGGGATTTGAACTTGTAATTATTTGTTCACCTCAAAACTTCAGGTATCAAGTTGCCAGGCAAAGCATAGTGCTGTGCACACGCTTTAGCCCACTCGGTCACCCCGCATTACCTGTCAGCATGTTCCTTGGCCTCCTGAGTTAGGCTGATCTGCCACTGAAAGTGCAGCTGAGCTGAGCCTAGCAAGAGGAGGTCGGCAACAAATTGCTTAGTGGAGCTCAGCTCATTCAGCAACTTGCCTTGCATCAATGCCCTTCTCATATTCCATGTAACATTTCTTAAAAAATATATATAGCATATATAACATTTAAAAAAATAATAATAAATTTGATCTTGTCAGAGTTGAAAAGAATAATTTTCTCTTACACATTGGATTGATAATTTTTCCACATCCATTGCATATTTTACACTGAATCAAAATAAAATAATTTGAGAGGTTTTACAGTGAAACCAAGTGGAAAACATTTTTAAAAAATATATATACATCGTATGTAACATTTTAAAAAAATAGCAAAGTTGATCATGTCGGAGTTGAAAAGAAAAATCAAATATTTTCCCTTACACATTCAATTAAGAATTCTTCCAGATCAATTGCATATTTTACACTGAACCAAAATAAAATAATTTGAACGGTTGTGTAGTGAAAGCAAGCGGGAAAAAAAGGATGAAACTTATGAACAAAGCCACACAGTGGTGAGTAAGTGTAGTGGAGGAAGCTGAGCTTAACTTCAAAACCGAACCTCAGTCGAGCCATAGCTAACCCTTGCTACTCCACTCAGCTCAGCTCCACATCTGGTGGCCGGCCTGTCATTAAAAGCTTTTGATTCGGTTTTAGAAGCTGACTCAGCTCAGTTCAGCTGCGCTTTCGGTGGACGGTCAGCTTTATTGTTCTCCACTTCTATCTGTCCTTTTCTCGCACATATATCCACTTCATCCTTCTCTCTGCTTCTCGGCCTTCCTCTTTTTCTCTTCCCACTGAAATACACTTCCAGTATTTTCTTCTACACCTTCATTTTCCATTCTGACCACATGTCCTGTCCATCTCAGCCTACTTGCCTTATGATAATTGTAAACATTATCATACATTAAAATATTATTATTCTCTACTATAGCCTTGATTTCATTGTTTCTCTTAATTTTTCATTCACCATTAATTCTTTTAGCACTGTTAATCCTTCTTATTATCTTTTTTTTTTCAAATTCTTTTAGTTTATGGCAATCCTCTTGCGACAAACACCAGGTTTTCGCTCCATAGGTGACTACTAGTCTTGTAAGAGTTTTATGTAGCTTAATTTTATAGCTTTTGACTTTTGGAGACTTGAGAAGTTTAAGGTTTGCATAGTAGCCTCTATTACCAGCCATTATTCTGTTGTTGATTAAATTTTCACTATTTATGGCAGAACAGAGATACAAAAATGTGGGTACATATTGAAACATAAAATTCCTTATTTTTATGTCACTGCAGGATCTTCTACTTGCTGCTGATGAAAGTTTTAGGTATTTAGTTTTGCTTTCATTGGCCACACGTCCTTCTTTCCATTTTTGTATACTATTTCAAGTGCTTCTTTAAGTGTCTTCACTTCTGGCAGCGATTGGTCATCTCGAATTTCAGTTGTAATTATAAAAATAAGTTATTATTTACTATAATTTTACTGATTGTCTGAAGTATTGCAAATATATTATAAAATAATAATAATAAAAAAATATATAATTTACTTAATTAATCAAAAATATTTGTTAGTGTTCCTTCAGAATAACTTGAGTGTTCATTTCTTTTCACCTCTAGTAGAACTTTTCTCAACTCTTAGAGAATTTTAGTGTTTAGCTCATTTTAAATCTTGTAGTTTACGTTACTACTGGAAGGACATATGGTCTATTATAAATTTGTAAACATGTTTTATTCTCTTATGATTGTGTAGGCAACACCTCAGTTAATAAATAGGAGGAAGTCCCTGCACAGTAGAAAGTTACGGCCTAACTCTGTTGTGGATACAGTCAGCGCTGAACACATTCCAGATCTCCTGCCCTCTATAAACAACTCTCCTCAAGGTATTAATTTATTTTTTTAAATCTATATAGGAATTTTAGCAACTATAGTCAAATTGATAAAATTATGATGTTATTTATATCTAATGTTAGTTCTAGATTACGGAGTTAAATTCACATACATATTTATATTTGAAACTTTTGTTTTGTTGAAGTTCAGTTGTTTCATTTTTTTTTTTTTTTTTTCTTCTGAATTATAATATAATTACATCTGATTTTGTCATTGTTAACTAATACAATTTAATGTGTTATGTAGACCAATCTATTACAGATTCTTTGGACTCGGTGTGTGAAGGTGCCGGTCAGCGGCTGCAACACCTTGTCAAAGGTCGACCAAAACGTCTCAAGACTAGAGCTCCTTCTCGACCCAATCACCCGAATTCGTAAGTAATGATAAGTTATTTACTTGAAATTAAGGTATATCATAGGATATTGAAGCCAATTTATGAACTTAATTTAATTACAATTATCATATTGCTAAAGTTATTATTTTGACTGTTTAATAATCTCTAATAAACAAGTAATTTATATTGACCCTATCTTTGTTGTATTGAACAAAATTGTCACACTATATAAGTACATAGTATTTTGAATGAAGGCTATTTTATTTTATCACAAATTGTATACACAATAATTTTTCCTACTCGATAGTAAAGTACTTCGATCTCTTGAAAGCGAGCATAATTTTTTTCCTGAAAAGTTGGAATTTGACATTTTTGTTATGACATAATGATGATTCACTTTATATTGTAAATCTAAGATATGTTTGTCAGATGGTGGAATATAGAAATAGAAAATCAATCTCATTTTATAAGCTCGTAACTGACTTTTTTCTTTTTTTAAATTCTTCCTACTATATCATTCACGGCAGGTGAGGAAACATCACATCAGTCATAGTCTAGATGGAATAGTAATCATTGGCTGCCAGTTCCACATTATAGAATATTTCAATTGGATTAGGTCTGAGGTCTCCAAACTTTTTAGGCCCATGGTCCATGGCTTGTTATGAAAAAAACAAGCTTGTTTTATAAATGACACTGCAGTTGTGAAATGAGCTTTCTAAAGATACAAATCATGTACGATTAGTCATATTTAGGTATGATCAGGACCTTATCAAGGAGGGATACTTCATCAATTAATGAAGCTTCATTGAGTGATACATTTTTTTTTCTCAGGTTATACCTGTGTTTCTGGCATACAGGTAAATGGGATGGGAATTGTTCTTGAGCTACAATCAAACCTATTATAACCATAATGGGAAGGTTGAGATTCATTCCAGGGATGATTCACAAAATAAATTTCAACCTACCCACCGAGGCCGGATTTGAACCATTGCTGACTGCTGCTAGACTGAAGAATGATAAAGCAAGAGCAACACTTAATCTCATGCTCAGCCGTCATGGCCTCCATCGTGTGATAAAATAACCATCATGTGGACTTGGCATTGAAGCGGGATCTTTTTTTAAATTTGATGAAGAAAAGCATCCATCTCCGCTGACATGGCACCGTGGAGGTTTGTTTACCACTTGATGAAGCTCAATCATCATCTAATTAAATAAGTAATGATTATAATAATAATAAATAAAAATTCTAATATCCTCTGCAACTGGGATTGAGATCTCAGATTATATGAATCAGTGAACAATATCTGCTTTCAGAATCCCATCTATATTGTGATTGATGTGAACTTGGTCCAAAAGAGGAATTGAGAATTTAATTTACTGATTTTATATTGGTAAAGGATATGTATGTCAGAAGAATGGCAATTTTTATATACTTATTTCTTTTTTTTCATAATGAAACCCTCTTATCCGATGGTTCTGTGGTTAAATAATTGATAGGAATTTTCTAGTTAAACTTAATATAAATTGTTGACAGATACATAAGCAGTATCATGGTTACAAATAGTTATAAATAGTCAGAACGCAGTCATTTTAAGATGTTTATTTTTGCCAACATTTTATCCCAAACATGTGGGTCATCATCAAGGCATGTTACCTGTGCTGGAGATATTCAAATACTGTACAACACTTGTTTTGGTTGAAACGTTAGCAACAATAAAAATCTTAAAATGGCTGTTTCCTGGCTATTTATCATCCAAGATAACAGTCGACTAACTTCCTTCAATGTATATTTTATCAATCCTGACTGATTTATGACATAAATATTAAATGTGCAACATTAATCAATGAATTGACTATTATTGTATGTTTTAAAAAATCAAAATTTAGGTCCATGGGACAGAAATATATTTAATTTTTATTGTTCAGGTTCCCCGACTCTGAAGATTTAGATTCTACTGATAATCAGGTGCGTATTGTCATTGATATCAAGAAAAATATGAAAGTTATAAGTTCATTACGGCTTATTATTTTTTTTTCTTGAAATACTTGACTATATCCTTTTAAAATAGGACAATCAGTGACATAGCGATATACAGCCTCAATCACATTAAACCACCAAGATTACAGAATATTTTTTGTTCACTCCTCGTTACACATTACACACTTATTTACACTTAGTAAATAGGTAACATTAATACTTCGTTTTCTACTCTAGATAAACAGATATCATATACCTTTTTTTGTATTCATAAAAATATAGGAGGAGAATATATGTAATACATCTTTATAACAAATAAATAATTAATTTGTTCTTATCACCATAAAATTTTCCATTAACATACTGATATAATTCAGAACAGTTTGGAAGTTAAAAAACTTTTTAATCTGTGTATTTATTGAGAGAGTTAAATATAAATAACTATGTCTAAGTTAAGGTGATAAATTTATTTCTAACTTGCTCTGTTTCCTTTACTCTCTGGGCAGCTTTTGAAACTTCAAAATCTTAGAGAAAGTAATGTTAGTTCATACAGAAAAATTATTTTAATGCTAAAGTGAAATTAGGTTAATTTAAATATTTAATAGTAATGTCACCGACCTATTTTTACTGTTCGATATTAATAAAATATTTTTATTTCCAGAGCACAGCTAGTGAAATGAGTAGCAGTATTACAAAGCCAAGGCCCTGGTCTACGATAGATAAATCTGGTATGTGATCATTGCCTCGCATTATTTAAATTCTGTAAATAAATTCAACGCTTATTACATAAGTTGTAGTAATTGTTTTTTTAATTATTAATGGGAATGTAATTTTTATGGTTAATTATTTTTATATTTGGCTCTTAAAAACATTTCCATTGAATTTGTGGTATTATTTTAACTGTGAATTCAATAGAATAATGAAAAATCAGAGATTTTCATAGGAAAAATAAAGGAAAGTTTTGTTCTTTTCCCCAGTGGTAAAGGACGCAATGGCACATTTTTGTATTTGTTCCATAACTTTGAGCTATTAAAATTTGTTTCTTAATTACTATATTATTTAATAAAAAAATGGACACGGTGTCCTTTACCTCCGGAGTACAGAGTAACACCGGGTACACTATGGACCAAGGGAGCATCGGTTGGGAGTACAGAGTTGTAATCGTAAAATCTTGTATATTAGATTAAATTCTGTATATATATTTATATTATGCATTTTATAAATTTATTTCTAAATAAAAATTAAATGGAATTATCCCTTTTTGTTAGTTGATGCATCATTTGTACCATACAGTCAATCGTTTAATGAATATTTTCATAAAAAATATTTTTTCTCACTCTTAATTTGGAGTGGAGCAGGAAATATTAGTAATGCCAAGGAAAGGTCAGATATTTTAACTGACTGACTTTTTATAGACACCAAATTCATTTTTGTTTGTAAATCAGAAATTTTGTCGAAAAGCGCTTGTCTGCAGATTATTGTTAAAACACTCACAAAATTATTTTTACCTTCTCAATTTAATTTTTTACTGCGGTTTTATTTAGTAAAATTATTGTATGGATTTATTCAACAGATATCTGCAGTGAGGCATCAACAGCCGCTAATACCCCTGACTCTCCTGATACTCCTTCAATATTATCAGGTATACCATACGTATCTATGTCTTATCTTTTTGGTTTTTTACTATTTCTGTTTCAAAATCAATTAGAATTTATATATCTATAAGATAGTAAATTGAATTGTTCGTTTTTTATAATCACCTAAAAGATATAACCTACCTCCATCTGTTTTCTAGAAGGGGACAAGAGATCCGTACGAGATATTGCAGCAAGCATAAACAAACATGAATTAGACAGCAAGGTGACATAGCGAGAATTAGATTTCATAGATATTAAAACGATTGTCATAAGGTGACATGAGAACTGTACATAACTGTGTATATGCCTGTTCTTTCAGGTTGCATTATATGCACTTATATATGTATATTCCTAATTGTATATTTGTTATAAACTAATGACTTGTATTTTTTATTATTATGATTATTATAGAACATGCTTCCTTCCATATTACTTAATTTTAGTTATTGACTTTTATACTGTTTGTCTTATTGATCACAGTTATTTATTTTATATTTTATTGTATGTTATGTGATGTTTTTATCGTTATTGTTTTGATTTTTTAGTTTCAAGATGAAGCTTTATATTTGTGCCAAAGCTATAATGCATTCCGTTTTATATCTTAACTTACTTTTTTAATATTATTTGTAATGATAAAGTCAAATCTCCTTTACTTTTAGGTGGCAAAAGTATTAACTATTAATTTGTTTTACTTTCATTTATATTAATTTAAATTGTTCCTCATAGTTGGTAAGATGATTCTTCCAAAAATTATTTAGAGATTCGAAATAGCATTTTGATTGTTACTAAATTGATTTTGTGCATTATACAGAAGTAATTAAGTAAATGACTAGTAAAATAAAAAGATAACCCTAACTGCCCAACTGGTCTGTGAGTGAACTCTTAGTATAAATTGACTGAAGTTATATATTAGCTGTATTGACAGAGTAATTAGAACTTATATTTCAACTGTAAAGTGTCTTAAACGTGTAGTCTACTTATTTGTAAAATAGTTATCAAAAGTAGTTTTCTCTGTTTCCTTTTTATAAGAGATAAAAAATATATAAGACAATTTTTTATAGATAGAATAAGTATACGCTGGTATTGGTACTGAGTTAAATTTCCATCTTGCACTATTGTTCGTAATTAAATGACTATAACTGTTTAACAAATACATTATTTTCTTTCTTCTATTTTCTAAAGAAAAAAAATGTGAATTGTTAATTTTTATTATTTAATTACTAATTGTCTAAATGAATCATTTAAATTTTTGTTACTATAAATGTGAATAACTTGTTATATTTTCTTAATTTAAACCTGAACAACAATTTGTCTAATAAATTATAATTTTATCAATTTTCTTGATCTTAAGATATTTCTTGGTGCCACATATATTTGAAAATAAAATACTTTCAGCTATAAATTATATTTGAAATATATCTCACATTTGTTAAATAATAAAATGTCAGTTATTTTCCTTGTTTATTCTTATTATTATATAAGTTATTATGACATTTTCATGTATTATATTTATTTGAATGCTTTCAATAAATTTTTTAGGACCATTTTTCAGTTCCTCCCAAGGTAAGATCTCTATCACCTTGATGATAATGTCAAGGATGACTCTCCTCATTTTCCCAAGACAATATGAAGCCACGCATTTTATAGCTGACACCATTGAATTATAGATGATTGCTTCCCGTCTATTTATTTCATCTCACTAAGTTACTTCTTGCTTTGTGCAAGGTACTATTGCAATATTATGTCCACTTTGCAGGCTTAATAACTCTTCAGTTTATCTTTCATCCCGTCTGATTTATTTTCAACAAATAAATAGGTTCCAGGTGAGGACGGGATGGCCTCTGAGTCTCAGAGTGCCCAGTTCTGAACGTTGATTCTCACCTGGGTCGGTTACTTTTCATTTCTCGGAAGCCCTGGGAAATGGATCGTAACATTCCCACTCTAGTAAGTACAACCTCAAGGTAGCCGTCAGGGTTTGGCAAAATGGATCACTTGCCATCACGATTGGCCCACTTGCCGGGCTAGTTCCCCCTACCAGTACCAGTAGGTCCGAGGTGAAGTTAGTCTTTTTTCTGAACTATTTCCTTGTGTTGATACCTGGTTTTTGGGTTTAACAGCCTTGTTTACCAGTTCTTCTATCTTAGCTGCAGACCAATAAAGCAGCCTTATCTATAATCTGTGCTTACACATTCTCTTGAGGCTCCATAATATTATCTGCCGATTTTGATTCTTAATTGCTAACATTTAGGGTGGACTTGTGGTAACTATACTCTGTCCTTGCTTTGAGACCTTTTCTTTGGACTCTACAACCTTGTCCATCCAGCTGCTTAGGAATCTTGCAGTCTTAATTACTGGTTCTTGGGTTAGTCTCATCGCTTCATAATTGATGTATGGATTGGGAGAATTTGTGCTGAATTCATATCTGACACCAACAGAAAGATTAAACTTATTAGTTCCTGGAGTAGACAATAGTATAGGTTAGGCAACTGCCCTGGCCTGAGATGTCTAACCCCTACCTCTTTGTTTTCACTAACAAAAAGTCCTTCAATCTCCTCAAGGTGCCACCTGTACATTTTTTACTACTAAGTTTAATGGGTGATATGAAACAGTAAAAAACTCAAGACATGAGTCTTCTTCGGATGAAGTGAATTCATTAATATAAGAATTTAATGTGTTCCTAGTAGTATGGAGTAGTTTAACAACAATATATGCACCATCTCCAATCTCTCTAATGGCTATTTTATACAATGGGATGTTGGGTTGATCAGAAATATTTTTATAAACCCTATGCCATTAAGGCTCAGCTCAAGCACAACTTGTGTGGTGGACCCCATCTGTTGTCAGTGATTTCCATCCAGGGGAACACCATGTAGAAGTGGTAGTAGCACGTGATAAGAAAAAGGACTGGGAATGCCTATCTGTGTAATGCATGATGGAGACTACTGCACTCATCTCCTCTCCACATGAAATGACTACAAATTCCTCTGTGTACACTGTCATTTAAAAAACAATGGCTTGAAAAAGATTTGTTGAGGGATCATGTGATTCCCTTGTTCAATACAGAAATTATCCTTGATCATCCCTCCTTCCTTGAAATTAATATAGACGATGTGTCATGGAATTCCTCTATTATAAAAGAGATTGACATGTCTGCCCTGAAAATTTCCGAACATCAAAAGATTGTTGGCATGATTTTTTCATGAGGAATAAGGAATGTGATGAATCTACAGATACCATTCTAATAAGAGCAATAGCAATAATGAAAATGGTTACTTATCATAAATTTACAGACGATTCTCCGAGTAATCTGATAAAGAAATTGCCCTGACCATTGTTGGCAAATATCTGACCAAACTGGACTGTTATCCAATGTGCTTCAGCAGCGTCTTATGAATCTTGGAAGTCCTTTCATGTTGAACCTTTGGGATCTGACGTTTCATCATTACATACACTTGTAGATTCATTTTCTTTATCATAGTGCACAGTATCGTAGTTATTAGTATCTAAAGCTATTTTACTGGTACTCGATCTATATAAAAATATTGTAAATTATATTCAATATAATAAAGTGCATCCCAAAATAACATACCTACCTTTTTATCACAACTTGTTATTTTTCTACGTTTTGGCACATTATTTCGCTTTCTTATGCAAACAAGAATGGTCTTTATACGAAATTTGATTTTCAGCTCAATCAATGAAATCAACCTCCACCTCATTATAAACAATTTAAGACTCGCGTAATCTCAAAACGAACTAAATTTCGAAAATCTTGGTGTCTCATAATAAAAAGCTTTTCTTTATTCATTTGTACATTATCTAATTCGATGTTAACTGAGCATGAAAGATTTTTGCCTTCTTGTATAATTGACGATAGGGTCTATTCCATTTTGACCACGGGCGGATCTACGGGGGGGGGGGGCGGGGGGAGGAGGGAGAAGCTTTCGGACTGAAGCCTCCCCTCCCCAAATTGGTAAAATATAACCATTTTTTATGGAAAAAAAATTCTAAAAATACCTCTTAAAGTATTATTGTTCGTGTAATTACATTTAAAAGGACTTTAGGAATAACTTAAACACCATTGCATATAGGTAGTTAGTTTCTTTCTGTTTTTCTAAAGTAATTATCGTCATTTTTATGAAAAAAAAAAAAGCTTTCGGGCTGAAGCCCCCCTCAAAATTAAATCCTGGATCCGCTAGTGATTTTGACCATCGGCTTAAAATAAGAAAATGTTGAAATATAAGTTGCGAATCATTTCATATTAAAAATGATCAGCTTGATTTTCCGATTCTGAATTCTTGAAACCTTTGTTCCTCGAATTCTATAACTCTTCTCAAATTGGTGCCTTCTCAAGTGTGTCGAGTGCCACCCAGAACAATTTTACCATAAATCAAAAGATTCTGTACAGATAGGGATAGCAAAACCAAAACAATCCATAAAAAATCACTACTTAATAAGTTCATGGTCATGAAAAAATACAATGGCAAAATGTTTATTCTTTGAAGTATTTATTTATTCTTCTAAAATGAGATATCGTAGGATTGTATAGAATCGGTAAATCAGGTTTAATTAGTGCTCCTTATCTCTATCATTGATTCATTGCTTCATTGGAAGATTCAATCCTTCTTGATAAATCATCAATAATCTCATGATTTGTTTAATCTATCCATGTAGAGATAACATGCTTTTTAACAATGGATTTTACAGATAATTAGAAATAGACCATTTCTTTAAAATACTCAATAGATATAACCGCTTTTGAAATTCGTGAGGAAAAGTCATACTAAATCTGGCTTAAGAAACGTCTGCATAAGTTCAAACATCGAGTAAGTACTCGATCAAAACGATTGAGCTTAATTTCTGTAGATAAATGAAAAATTGCAATTAAAATCTTGTACTAGGCTTGAAAATAAATATATTGTGTTTCGAATTCATTTTCTGAATCTCCCTATACATCTCAGTGGTCCATGAAATATATAAATGTATTATTCAAATCTAATCCTTGGTATGTTGATGAAAAAGTGCTATTGATTTTTATTATAGTATCTGCAATAATGAACCTCTATACTCCATCAAAAAATGAATAAATAAATAAAATAACCCCCCTCGATTTTATTAAGGTTCAAGATGTTAGAATCCGAAATCGAAAAAAAAATCCATATGCCCAGCGTTCGTCATACGTGGCCTTTTTCTATAAAATAATAAATAAAGTAACTTAACTAAAAGCTCTGTGAAATATATTACTTTATTGCTGAAGATTTAAAATTGTTTATATCAAGTTAGTGTTGTTTTGAAAAATTGACATGCTCAGTTCAGTCTATTTTTAGCAACACTGGTAGAACTGTCTACAGTATTTTGGTAACAAGATTGATGTATGCTTAAACAAAGGTTATAGTCATGAAACCAATAAGACTGTAAGTGATGTATTGATTAGTTAAACTGTGTTGGTTTTCAAAACTTTTAAAAGTTACAATGGCCTTTAACTTTCAAGGAGGACCACTTGCAATGGGTAAATCTGTTTAAATATATTTTAACTGTATTTTGATTATTTTTTAATTAAGTTAAAATTCTTTTGACATGCATTTATAAATGTATTTAGGGACCGATTGTTAATAAAACCATTATCATTTCTCAATCATTTCAGGTATGCCTCAGGGGCAGGGCCAAATGATGAGTGGTCTGATGCACAGCGGAATGATGGGCGGACCGATGATGCCCAGTATGATGCCTGGGTTTCCTCATATGCCAGTCATGCCTGAACAACAACTAGTCAACCCAGGCCTAAATGATGCACCACTCGAATTCAATACTAACAAAAATAAACCTCCTATGCCTATCTCAGGTATCTATTTTTGTTTTGCTGAAATAGATGATTAATTTCCAACTTATTTGAGTGATACAAACCTTTAAATAACTGTTATGTTTGATATTATATTAGGAATCTGATGTTGATTGTTCAGTATTGTATTGTTATATACTTTTGCAATTTTTTATCCAGAATATGTATGTGGTTAATTAAGATAAGAGAATTTCAGTCTTTTTGTCTCTTAATCTTCCATACCAAGACTGTCTAAACTTTTTAACACCAGGTCGCACTGACTTCTTCATTTAGTTCCTAAACTATTTCTTTGTTTTAACATACTGAAATCATTAATCACAGTTTAAAATCTCAGTCTTATTATTTATATCTCTTATTGTTTTTCTCAATTGGGCATTAAATAAAAAAAAATCTGATTTTTTTTACATAGTTTATTTACAGGGTAATTAAATTAAACTGTGATTAATATTTGCAGACCATTGTTATTCTATGAGCCTTGGTTTTAGGACTCACGCCTTGCACCACAATTGTTTTATAGCAATCAATATTGCTGACTGCTATATTTGGATTTTGATGTCGTGATTAAAAGAACACAATATTTATCAGCAGGAAATTGTCTGTCAACCCTAGTTTCCTACATGATATTTTTTTTTCTTGTAATGACATCATTTTTTTTAATGAAGATTTTTTAATAAGAAAATATTGTATTTTTAATAAAATGAACACAAATGATTTGTTCTGTTATTATTCTTAAATGCTCCCCACTTATCAAGACTTCTGATTGAAAAAAAGGAAGAAATACAAACATTAAGTTTAGTTGCTTTTTAAATTTTTCATATAGTCAATTATTTCTAGATATCTATATATTTTCTCAGATTAATAACAATAACAATAAAATTATATTTTTTCTACATAAGGTGGAGACATAGATGAAAGAGGTTTAGCCAGTTCTAGTCAGTTTAACAAAGACAGTGATAAAGAAAGAGAAAGAAGGCGAGAAAGAGAAGGTCGACCTAGGCAGGATAGAAGCAAGGAAAGATCCAAAGATACCAAGTCAGTATATTGTGTTTTGATTTTATTTTCAATATGGAGAAGTATATTATTGATATGATCCAAAACCAATTGGTTGCCATTAAACAAAGTGTACTGTTGTTATGTTAGGAGATATTTGGTATAAGAGCTTTATAACTAGTAAGCAAATGATTTTTTTATTTTTTATTAATATTTATAATTTTTCCTCTTTCTTTCTTTACTCATTTTAAATAACTAAAATATTTTTTATTTTATTTTTTTTTATTTCTTTATTACATTTACAACTGTACTACATTACTGTATTACATAAATACATTAAGTAAATTAAAATATTTAAAATCAATAAAAAGAATTATTTATTTTGTAGTATCTATGATGAAGGGTTATTCGCAAAAAAGAGTTAACCTATATTATTGGGTTGTCTGGAAAATAATGCTGGATTTTGAGCTTTTTTAAACATACCCCTCTATATAACAAACTATTTACGTTTACTGGATTATTAATTTGTATGAATATCAACTCTTATTAATCCTCTTCCAACAAACTATAATGTTTGTTTACCTCTGCAGCATTTTGCTGCTTAGGAATAATTCAGTCTTTAATAAGATGTCAATGCGTGATTTTTGTATTATTTTGTTTTACGAGTTTAAACTCAGACAGAATATGGCCCAGACAGCAGAAACATCAATCAAGTCTAGAGCGAGAGCAGCATTAATGAGTGTACTATTCAAGGGTTCATAAAATTTTGTGAGGGAGACTTGAGCCTTGAATACAAAGGTCCTGGAGATGTAGAAGGACCTCCTCTCTTGATGATGATGTTCTGTAGGCTGTGGTGGAAGAAAACCCCATAACAACTGTTCGAGAACTTGCAGGAAAACTTAACCTTAGCAAATTGACTATCGATAATCATCTCAAGGCGATTGGAAAAGTAAAAAAGCTTGAAAGTTGGATTCCACACTCATTAAACGACTGCCAAAACAAAAATGACCCTTCTCTGTCCAGAATTGTTACTTGTGATGAAAAGTGGATACTTTACGATAACAGCAGATGTTCTGGACAGTGGCTTGACAAAGGAGAAGCAGCAGAACTCTTTCCAAAACCCCCAACTCATCAAAAAAAGGTGATGGTTACTATTTGGTGGGCTTGATTTGGTTTAATACACTATAGCTTCTTAAATCCTACAGAAAACATCAATGCCGAATCGTATTTTAACCAAATTAATGCAATGCATCAGAAATTGGCAATAATGAAGCCATCTTTGGTCAATCGGAAGGTGCTCATTTTGTCACATGACAACGTCCGGTCACAAAAACAGTTGGAGCTTGGATATGAAACTCAGCCACATCCGCCTTACTCTCCAGACCTCTCACCTATGGATTATCATTTTTTCAGACACCTGAACCACTAATTATGTGACAAAAAATTTAATGGACAAAGGGAATTAGAAAATGCATTTTTGGAGTTCATAAATTCTAAAGATGGTAAATTCTATTCTGAGGGAATGTAAAAGTTGCTAACACGTTGGCAGAAATGAGATTAGAGATTTTTTTTTATATGTATTTTGAGAACTTTTGTAATACTCGGTTCACAAATAATTTTATTGATTTATAATTTTATTATGTCACCATTGATGTACCGAGATTAATTTCATGGTATACTTTGGGATTGGAATGAAAATCATAATAATAATAGTTGATTTTAATAAATAATCAAGGATATGATTTCTTAAGATGTGTTCAAGAATAACAAAAATCAAAACAGTAATAAATTTACCATTTATTTAAAATAATTAGATTTATTGTCAACTGATGAGGGTTATTTTTTTGGCACCATAGATCTTTTATATATTTGGCTATGCGATATGGTCTTCTTACAGATGTGTATTGCTTGTGGGGTATAGATGGTCTGAAGGGGGTCATATAACCTCACAGCAGCAGAATACCTAGGATCCATAGTCATAGACCTTGATGGCCAAGCGTATTAAAGGTTTACCCACTTCTCGAGTCTAGCACCACCGGTTCGAAACTGGCTTGAGTGTCTTAGGAATGGTTTAGAGGTTTGATTTTAGTTAAAATTTTAAAATTTTAAATTTACTAAGTGGCGAACGCATGGGATAAATCTTTATCTTATCACTCTGGTTAGAATAGATTTGGTTTTACTTCTAGAAGAAGAACTCATATGGCGAAGTAAGGGGTAACCAGAGAAAGCAAAAAAAATATATATATATATATACTATAGCCAATCCCTTTGTGGCCAATATGACTGATGAATCGGTCTAAATCTATGGATTATGGCTGCTTGGAGTCACCCAGCCATTATCGGCTCAGTTGTAGCTGTTCGGAACTAGAATGTGTACAAGGACCTAAGATATCGATGAAACTGGAATGGTTACAGTTAATTCTACCATCTCTCATGGGTCTTTTATCTAATTTCCTATACATTAATGCCAGAAGTAATAAGGAACAAAGCCTGTCCCTTTCTACTCCGATTACAAATTTGAGTTCAAATACTCCCTAATCGTACTTCTGTCCTCCACTGATTTAGGAGGTGAATACTTTCCATTGGTGGTCTCCTATATGCAGTGCCTGAACAGCCCTCATCTGTAACCTTTCTTCTTACAAAGTATGGATGTAAACACTCAGTTTGTAAACTAGTGCTTTTCCTGCGATGTTAAAGGTGAACACCCTCAGATTGTATGCTGTTTATTGTTTCAATCACGTAGGATCTTCCTGTCTCAAAATATCCTTTATTTTCTCAGTTATTCTTCTCTCGTTGCTTGAGGCCTTCTGATTCTTAATCTGAGAAACCTACCTTAATGATTGTGTCTTTGTGTCTGAACAAATCCCTCACAATCATCTTGATTTTATGAATGGCCAGTTATATATCTTCTATTGTAAATTGTTAATATTTACCGAACTTAAATGTTAATTATGTTATTTAAACTATTACTAATTGAAAATTTTAATTTTAATTAATATATATTAATAGATATAGTACTAATTACTAACTGTCAATTTGCACATTACAGGGAAGTGGAAAAGAGCGAGGTTGACAGTGACAGCAATGAAATGGCCCCCGTCTGGGGCGGAATCATACCACCTCCGATGCCATACCAAGTCATGGGAATGCCTTTGATGGATCCTAATATGATGATACCTCAAGTATGTTCCATAATGGATCTAAACAAGTATTTCAAATTTTAATCACCTCAACGAGTTCTATCTGCTATAATTTTCTTCTTTTTTTAAAAAAAAAAAAGTGTTACATTGCTCTTTGAAAAATAAATTATTATTGATTTTCATTAATAATTTCTCTTTTTGACAATTTAAATTAGCCCTACTATAAATTTTCTTCTCTTGGTTTTATATTTTTAACATTAATTTATTTTTCTTCTATTGCCATATTGTCTTAAAGTAGCTATTATATTCAAAATTATTTTTTATCCTTTGATTCATTAGTTGGCCTTATTTATTTTATGCTCAATAACTAAAGTAATAAAAATTCTAAATTTCATTAAATTATAAACCTTCTTGAACAAAATAATAAATCAGTGATGATTTCTAGTTTGGAATGGTGGCTCCTGGTCTTGTTGATGGAGGTGTAGTTAAGGAAGTGATCCAGCTAAAATCAGTGACTCTTATTCCTCCGCCACCTGGATCTCCCCTCCCAACGACAAGAGAGCGGCCACCAGGATGCAAAACAATATTTGTCGGTGGATTGGCTGAAAACACCTCTGGTTAGCTTTGTTATAATAAATATTATTTTTATTAAATTAACAAAAATAGGAAATGCCTAATGGGATACACAGATACTATTACTTATTTATTTATTCTATTTTTTTATTATTCACCATCTATTGAAAAACATTTAAGTGTAAACTAAAATATTCTAGGATTATCGGTTCCAAAGAAATTAATTTTCAAAGTTGCGGTATCAGGCTTATTGATAATAATATCGTGACTGATGGTTGAGAGTCATATGACTTCACTCACTTCTAGAGATTGGTTTACGTCCAGTATGTTGTACCAATATCATCAATCGTAAATTATCTTACATTTAAATAATGTTGAAAAGACATGAAGCATTATAGAAATAAAGAACATTCTATGTGCTCTATTTAATGAAAAAATTATTGGAATTTTAATTACCTCGAGGCTGCATGTAGCCTCTGTGAGGTAGCTGTGGACTCAGAGGCTGAATGCAATCCCCATCAGTTTTTGCATGTTCATTATTAATCTTGTGATGAAATTAATTAAAATTTAATTATTAAGATTAATAAAATTTGAAAATTAAGTTGAATATATGTGTGTAATTTGTACAGATAAATAAAAAGAGCAACATTAAAATATAAAAAAATATTGCGGCCTCCATTATCAATGTCAAAACTTACTGCTGCTCCTAATGATGAAAAGATTCCTCACCTAGGACGTATACTATACAGTAGTACATTATAATTAGCGAAAATATTTTGTTGTTAGATCTAAAAAATGAGAAAGAACTGTAGTAATAATATTGAAGGAAGTTAGTCGACTGTTCTACATATCGTGGGTGATAAATATTCAGGACGCAGTCATTATAAGATTTTTATTAGTGCCGACGTTTCGTCCCAAACATGTGGGTCATCATCATCAGGGTACTTGAATATCTTCAATGCTCGAACCACGCCCTGATGATGACCCACATGTTTATAATGATAATAATAAATAAAAACCTTATAATGACTGCATCCTGAATATTTAACACTCATGATATAGTATTAATTAGCTAAGACATTATTTAGCAATAATGCAGTACTTGCTATAACTATAACAATAACAAAATATAATTTGACTCATAAAGGCTGCTTTGCAAGTTTTGCTTGGTTCAAAAATGAATTAGCTTAGAAAAACATATCCCACGATAGGAACCGTTTTATGTCAAAGTTTGGAAATCATAATTTTAAAAGCAAATCTATCATTCAAAAGTGACTATTTTTGCTTTATGCACATTTAAAAATTTCTTTATCATTTAATAAAAGGTCTGAACAATATTGTTAACTAGGAATGGGGTTATCAAGCAAAGCCTAAACTAAAAGGGTTGAGAATGAATTTATTATGTTGATTTCAAATGTTCTCTTTTATTGTGTTAAAGCTAGACATTAATATATGACCTAAGTACAGACTGGAAATTGACAGTCAAAATAAAATCATACTTCTTTAATTTTGAATTGACACAAAACACTACTTTTTACTTTTTGAATGAACTAGAAATGTGTTTATAACATGTTCCTTATTGGACGTGTCAATATTATGACAGTGATGAATGAACAAATTCAACCTCTATAATACGTTTAGATGAGACTTCCCTATCATCTTTCAGGAGGTGGAAGGCCGTTTGTTATAGAGTATGAATATCCTCAAGAGAAAGAAAATTCCTGTAACCTGAAATTTTTCAGTTATTTTAATTTTAGAAATCTATAGGGACTGCAGAGTCCAAAAATAGGATTTCATATTATATTTTATATATTATGTTTTAGATTTGTTATCATATTCAATAATTTTTTCCAACAGAATAAATTAAATATATAGCTAAATTTCAAAATTTTGACCATTCTGCGCTTTTCCAAATTTATCAACTTTAGAAGTTATGTTTCTTTCATACTTTGAAATTTTAAAGTCATATTTAAAATATATATATAACAAATTATTATTTTTTTTTTAATTGAAATTTTTATTTAATTCTTTGCAGAGGAAATCATCAGAGAAATTTTTATTCGATGCGGAGAAATGTTAACTGTAAGGCTCAGTACAAAGAAGTTTTGCCATATCCGATTTGTTCACGAATCATCTGTTGATGCTGCTCTGTTCTTTTCCGGTATGTGATTTATTCATATGTTTAAGTGAACTATTGACTACAATATTACTAAATAATATTGTATTAATATTAATAAGTAATATTTAATTTACATAACTGAAGTTGATCTTTAATAATTCATCTTACTTACTTGTATGCTGGAAAATACTTTTTAAAAAGTTCTCAGAAACTAGAAAAAGGAATGGAAGCTGGCAAAGCTTAGTGACTAGTAGATTAATAATGCAAACACATCTCAGAATGAAATTTTCACTTCTACCCCTAAATCAAAGCCTGCTTTAGAAATTTATACAAAGAGTTTAGTAATAATATGATATGCTTAAAATCTGCAAATATAGGTATATTTTTTTACTCATATGGTATTTATCTGTATGATTTTAAAATTATCTTCTTGTCAGTATCTCTAATTAGTTGTTTTATTTAATAATTTACTTAAAACTTTGCATTTAAATGTATCATTTGAATCTGTGTGCTTCTTTAACAATCATACTTAATTAGGATACAGAATGAGGATAGACAACAAAACTGATGCTTCAAATACTGGTAGACTCCATGTAGATTTCGCACAAGCGCGGGATGATCAGTATGAATGGGAATGTAAGCAACGACAGCTCCAAAGGGAACAAAGGCATCGAGACAGAGTTGAAAAAGAAAGGTAACGTCATCTACTCTCTGCTTTCTCTTAGAATTTTTATTTCATTTCCGTCCAACTGATCTGTTCTCATTTTATAATATTTTCAGGCTGAGGGTGCCGTCTCCTCCACCTGTACCTCATTACACCGAGCATGAGGCAACATCGATATCTGAAAAAATCAAAGGTAAATTATTTAATGAAGAGAAGAATAGTTGGGGTGATCAGTCAAATAAGAAGGCAAAAATAAATGATAATATTTATTTTGACATTTGCCAATGTTTCGACCTGAAGTTCAGAGAAATTTATTTCTGAATTTATGAGAAACATAAGTAGTGTAGGTAAAAAAAAAAAAATTAAAGTATAATGCATACTTTATTTATTTTTTTTTTTTTTACACTACTTATGTTTCTCATACCTTGTTATCTGGTTCTTTTCTTAGCCCTGATGATGGCCTGAACTTCAGGTTGAAACGTCGACAAATGTCAAAATAAATATTATCATTTATTTTTGCCTTCTTATTTGACTGATCACCCCAACTATTTTTCTCTTCATTATTCACGACACTCAACCATTTACCCACAATTGTAAATTATTTAAGGTTGTTTTAAAGGAATTATTCAGCAAAACATAAATATTATCAATTGTGCATGTTAAAAGTATTTTCTAGTCTATATTCTTCCATTCTAGATATTCCTGTTGTCCTGAATTTCAATTATTTTAATTAATCTATAATTTAATGATTAATAATTTGAAAACCATATTAATGGTTGACAGTCGTATTTTTTCAACCCCAATATTTAATGACTCATGTTAATTTTATGATGATATAGAGATGGTTGACCGTGATATAATATGAGGAGTTGATCGAGGGGTGCGGTCAAATAAATACTAAATTATACAAATAGTATTATTTAATTTTTGCTGATGTTTCGATCCACTTTGCAGGTCTTCATCAGAGCGTAGGACACTGGGTGTTTCAACTGCCTCCCGCAGTGCTACATCCTACGCCCTGATGAAGACCTGCAAAGTGGGTCAAAACGTCGGCAATAATTAAATAATACTATTTGTATAATTTAGTATTTATTTGACCGCACCCCTGATCAACTCCTTCTCATGTTAATTTTAAATTAAAAAAAAAGTTAAATTTTTGAATAAGTTAGTATAGCTCAGAGTTCTCCAAACATGTTGACCTGCGGGCCACATTGAGACCTCGACTAAGTCTCACGGGATATAGCTTGTGGTGATAAAAATTTTGATATATTGATGTTATGATCATATTTGATATTGGTGTTAAAGTATTTATTTTCATCTTTCTTTACCTCTCGGCAACATAGAGTTTTGGTAGAACTAGAGCTGTACTACCACTTCTTTTCTGACTCTTTGCTCTTCTTCATTAGAAGAGATTGAAATGATCGATTCCCACGAATTACTTTACACCCGAACAAAAATACTTCGTCGTACAGATAGTTATCCTTGCTTATTAGCTGCGAAAAATGGTCTTCCATGATAGATATACAGTCTGGTTTACCTCAGTAGAGTGGAAGAGACCTCTTGAAATTACCTCAGATCCTTTCTCTTGGATCTGAGGACGGGATGGCCGAGCATATTAGGACATGGGTCTCAAAGTGCCTGGTTCTGAACGTGGTGGGTTCGATTCTCACCTGGGTCGGTTACTTTTCATTTCTAGGTGGCCCCAGGGAATGGATCGTGACATTCCCACCCTGGCAAGTATGCGGCTGCAACCTTAAAGGTAGCTGTCAGGGTTTCGCAAAAAGGACCACTATAGGCCCACTTGCCGGACTAGTTCCCCCCACCAAGTATCAGTAACAGTGCCAGTACCCTTTGATCCTCTTGGTAACTTCTCATTAGGACAAGTTACTGGGGACCTTCAACCTTTGTAGCTGCTGTAGAACATTCGGCCACCACATACTATCAAAGGTACAGGATATGTCCAGCAAAAGTAACATGACATACTTCTTCGCCTTCTCAGTGATGTGGTGTATTTGGAGCAAGGTATCCAATTTGGAGGTGGTTCTTTTTCCTCTGACGGACCCATATTGCCTTGGATGGCTAGCTCCAGCTATCCAGTGTCGGCTGCAGACTGATTAGTATTTGGTTCTCCTGGACCTTATCCACCACAGTGAGGAGACAGATTGTTCTGTATGACCTAGTGAACCGCTTATCTCTGATATCCCCTGTAGAGCATTCTCAAATCGGCAAACTCCCAATCTCTCGGAGAGTACCCTCTATCTAAACAGTCATTGAAGATGTTCAACAACCTACAGGTTACCAAATTTATATTATATAAATAATTTTGTAATCAAAGAAACTTCCACGGGCAGGATCATATGGGAGATGCTTAAAGTCTGTAGTTAGGAGATGTTTTAATTTTTTAAGAAATCTGTTATTAAGTTATTATTTTAGTATAATATTTCAGTTAAGTTTTCATTGTTCATTTTAGTAGAAGATACTTTTGGAAAAGCAGTTCAAGTTGTAATAACATGGTTGGAAAGAGGTGACTGTAATAAACGCAATGCGTCCGTTTTCTATTCGATGATCCAGTCGACCAACTCTCACATTCGGAGGCTGCTGAGCGAGAAGGCTTCGCATGAAGAAGAGCTCCAGAGGGCCAAGGATCTGATGAAAGCTCGAATGCAAGGCCTCCTGCTTCAATGTAAGTATCATTTTCCGCTTTTGTCTCAACCGTCTCATAATCTCTCTCTATCCATTACATCATCAACAAGCACTCGGGAATTGGTCCGTTCAAGGTAAGAGGTTGTTATGTTTGATCTTAAATGGGGCTTGGGATAATCAAATTACTCTTATTCTTATTTGCACGTAACCACTATATTCTAGTCACTTTTATTTATCTTACATTTTATTTGATTAATAAGAGAAAAAATTAAAAATAAACATAGGAATAATATTGACTTAATTTTTGTTTGATTAATTAGTACAAGAATTGGTATCACATTTATTTTGAAGAACTTGACAAAAGGAATTTGTTTTTCTCCTTTGGATTTTTCTAGTAATGTGATTGGTATACGGAATCTAGCAACCAACTCCTATTCTTTTTCTTAATGAATTCAGACTTCAGACATTTATCCTGATATAAGATTTTAATCTTTCGTTTTAAATATTCATGTAAATGAGTAGGTTCTTTTTCTTTTCTTTTTTTCTTTTTTTTTTTTTTTTTTTTTTGTCTGATGTACTACAACCTTCATAGGCCTGCTGTGCTCCATGTTATGCCACTACATATTAAAACATTAGATTGATCGCTATTGCGAATTTTTATAGATCCATAGTATTGAGAAACTCTGGAATCTACCATTCGATCCTCACCAAACAGATTGAGTCTAAGCCTAGCATGTCTGTTGAAGGACAGACAATGTGAAAACCTGTTTCATTCTCTTCATAACACAACCTACATAGAGTTGTCTATCAATTTGAGTTTGAACATATGATAGTTTAACTAACAGTGATCTATAAAGTATGCTGTAAGTTAGTCAAGAACTGCTCTATCAAATTTTATTTGTTATGTTGCTTGTTCCATCAAGAACAACTTTGAGTAGCATTATACCTTTTTTTTTTTTTTTTTTTTAATGAATTCTGACATATAATATAAGATTTTGATCTTTGTTTTTTAATAACCATGTAAATGACTAGATTACTTTAGATTGATATCCCTAAATATGGACCTTTCATATAATTTATGAATTGTTTTCCCTTATCATTCCTCATTAGTGTTATATTGTTACTTATAGCTTTTATAAGTTATTAGTAATAATATTTTAAAATTTAGATTTTCAACTTTAACTGTGGGATAAATTAATTACCTATTATCATTATTATTATTAAAACAGTTCGATGGCTAAGAAGTGATTCCTTCATTTACCAAAAGATACAGCGAGACAGTTGCTTACAGTAGAGACAAAAAACTGTTTTTAAAATAAATTTAAAATTATCCAACTTATCCAATTTTCTTAGGATTCTAAGGAGGCATATCAAAATTCAATAATTGTTATCGTTTTGTTGACTGTTATCTAGTAATAATACGAGATTTCACTAGTAAAGTTACTCATAAGATAATAAATGCTTAAGCATAAGATCATAATGCTTTTTATTTTACACACTTTAGTCTCGCCCACAAACATTTGGTCTTATCAGGCGATGGTGTGTAATTTCATAATAATTACTGATGTCAAAACATTAAATATGCTTCTTTTTTTTTATTTTTATGGTTTACTAGGTATCACTTCTTAACCATTGATTTTATGAAGCATGATATAAAACACCTATCATAGTTGTTTTTTTTTAAATAGTAAGAGTAACAAAAAAAATATTGCTTTAGGATTTCGGTATCGTATTTTGTGTAGACATTCCCAGAATTCTTAATAATTTTTCTTAATTTAATTATTGAAAACAAAATTTCTAAAAAAAAAAAAATGACCATTGATTTAATTTTAAAATGTACATTAGATTTTTGGGGAATTATGTGATAATGTTAAACTTTATTATATCAATAATCAAATAGCTAGCAACTCATTTAGCACGTTTCATTGAATTAGTAGTAAAAATAAGATAAATAAACAAATAATTATAAATTATAATTTTACATTTTTATTCAATTTGACTTTATTTACTGTTGGTACCTTCAAAATTAAATAAATCATTACAGAAATTCTTGTCCCAGAAATATCAAGATTGTAGCAATGAATAGATATTATTGATGTAAATAATTAAAGTACAGAGGAAAAATTTCAAAGTTGTATATGGATTTATTCCATTACCTTGTAATTTTTAATGCCCATTCTGCCAAATGGCAATCGATGAGTTGTGATATATAGTGGATTAGGTTTGGATTTATCATTCTTTGCAACATATAATAAGATCAAATCACTCAAGGGAGTAAAATAAAATTAATTCCAGATCTATTTCGTTACAAAATTTATTTGAATTATTTTCTCCAACGTAGTTACGTAACGTAGTATTAAATTTACAATTTAATGTTATGCTATCACTAATAATTTTATTATTTAAATCGATGTCCTTCAATTTTTTGGATTTAGAAAGAGGCAGACAATTTTTTTGTTTTCTGGATCATTAGTTACACTATATTTTTGATCAGGCTATAACTCCCATAAAGGGAAGCTAATAAAACTTACACCAAATGCATGTCTCAAGTTATTTTTGTTTTGAAAATAAAATATTTCATAAAACATTGTTAATCTAAAATTGTCCTATTAATATTTTTATTATCTAAAGTTGGTCTATTTGGAATTATTTAAAGAATCAATTAATGTTTAATCTATCAACAAAAAATAAATTAATAAATAATATCTGTGTATCTATTCAACTACGAGCATGTATAATTTATGTAATGGGTCTATATTTCCTCATCTTTATCCTGTTCACGGATTGTGCTAGCATTAATGAAAACTATGGTAACGAAGAATCCTTTGGGACATTGGTAAGATTAACCTATACAGTTAATAACAACCTACTTTTATACATAAAGCCTGTCTTATCAGAAAGTCAAATCACTTACATCAGGAAATTAGATTCTATAAGATCTGGATCAAGCTGGTAAAATCTTAATACATATTAATGTTATTCTAAATTGGTGGTCTTTCGACTTGTCTGGAAAACGTGAAGAGTTTGCTTGCTAAATGACTTGGAAGGTTTGTTTCAATAATTGCATGTGCTCACTTTGTAAGCCTTTTTTTTTTTCTTTTTTTTTAATCTCATATTATGTTTACAATAGTATAATTTATATAAGTATTATTTTTGTCAATGTTCTCAATTGTTTGTTGTTTCTTTTCATCAATAAAATGTTTAATGTTATCCCCAGCGTTAGGAGCATTGTTCTGCCTCCACATCGATGAGGGTAATTTGTGTGAATGTATAGTGTGAGAGCTTGTATATATTTTTTCTTTTATGCCTCATCTTACTTTTTTTTTTTTAATGTAAAGTATAGCCGAAAGGTTTTTAGGATATCCACAATTTGTAAAAAATTAGTTGTAATGATAATAATTTTTAAAAAATATTAGGTTTAATGATACTGCAGGTTCATTACCGATTTTCTCTTTTTTTGTTGGTCAATACAATGTTCTTGTTCTTTATACCAAGTTTAATTTAATTATTCTCTTTATCAACAGTCCTAGATCAAGTTCATTTTCTTTATCGATCTCTTCCTTCCATTCTCAACTTCCAATTTTTTGGTTCCAAAGATAGAAATGAGAATGGACGCACCAATCCACCAGTGCTTTCCACCCTTAGGTAAAATGTACAAAATAGTTATAAACTAACATTTCTGAGCTGGACTGTATATCCAGTCTTAGTCTTCTTTGTATCCATTTTCATATTCGTTATCCAAGATCCCAGATCGACACTACATCATTGGTTCTCCTAGAAACATCTCCAGCCTTCATTTTCCATCATCCATCTTTGTTCCCTGTTCCCAAGATAGAAGCTGCCTGGACTCACCAATGTTTCCCACCCAAATCTACAACATGCTGGTAGTTCTCTAAACCATTGTTGGTAATTTATTTTCAGTAAGGAAGTTAATATCAGTTTTCTTAAAACTATTTAAATAAATTGAACCTTATCATCATCATCTCAGGCACTACAATCTTCCCTGTCTTTTATCTTTGCATATTTAATTAATTAGTCCATTTTAATATCCGTTCTAAATCACCTGTCGTACCATCAGGTGACATGATGGTAGTTTCATTCTCAGAGTGATGAAACCTACTCAAAGGTTACTATGTTAACCTGAGTCATTAATAACATATGTTAATTCAGTTTGTAGTGACCAGTACAGATACTAGTGTCTAGGAAGAAAAATATTTATGAGGGAGAGCAATCATCGGTTCTGGTCAGTTTATACCGTCAACGCTCGGCTTCTCTCTCCTTCTCATCTTATTCAGTTGTTCCTGCCCTGACGTTTAAGTGGAATAGGTTTGCAAACTTACGAGAATTAAATTGAATGGAAATGGAATGGATTTTATTCAAAATAAAGGAATGTATTTACATTACAATTTTTCTGAAAACTATGGTTATTGCTCGTGGTTCTTATTAAATATTAATCACAACAAGCAAGCCTTCAAAATTTAAGGAAAGCTGAAGATTTTAGAAAAAATAAAATCTGGCATATAAAGTCGTAGACGGTAATGAAAAACAATTGTCATTAATAATTTCTGCAAACAATGAATATCATGATTGTATATAAAGTGAATTAACATCTCTTTTTTTTAAACCCCCTAAAATTGCAGACTGGACATTTTTTAAATTTTTGTTCAGTCGTTAATTTATTTCCAGAATGAAATTTTCCATGTGCATTCTTATTATGGCATGAATATTAATGTGTATTTCAAGACTGTACTGACTGTTGAATTCTTGGAAGCACACCCCACAACAATAGCCCTTTTGTTTGTCATGAATCAATGAGTGTCTCGCCCAATTACTTTTTTTAACAAATGGATTTATTGCAACTTTGGCAGTAAAATTTTGAATCTTCCATGGTAATAACAAAAAAATTAAGGCAATATTTAAAAATTAGATCAATTGATATTAAAAAAACAGCTATAGTTAAAAAGAAATAAACAATGGATAAAAGAAGTAAATAAGGTTGAAAATAAAAAACAATTGATAAAAAGAAAGAAAGAAAACAATGTGTTAAAAGTAAAATTAAAGTAGAGAAAACAAAGCCGACTGTATTAGGTTGAACTGATAAGGGGGGAGGGGAGGCCGAACATTGACGTTATAAGCCGACCAGAGCCGATGATTGTTCCTTCAAAAATATTTTGCTCACTAGACACTAGTAGTACAGATAGCTAGCTATTACTTTTCTTAAGGAAGTCCTGTTGATGTTGAGTAAAATATTATTCCTTCTTAGATAGAGACCATCAAGGAACAGCCGGCAATCTTTGACAACCTTTTATTTCGTAGAATAATTGTTGAAATTCTTTTCTTCATAAGCCTGGTATAGCATCTCTCTAATGATGCTGCCATATGTACCGTGAATAATATGACGAAATCTGTAAAACACTAAGTGGTGTGTATTGATATTGCCATAAAATATATTATATTGATATTGCCTCTTAAGAAATATAAATTATGAAAACATGCGCGACAGTGGAACTAAGGTATAGGGGATGTCCTATCCAAAGCAGTATGGGTTGACAAAAATTTAGTCTGATTAAAAAAATCATTAATTAAAAACTTTGTAAAAATATCTTTAATCTTTAGCAAATATAATGATTATATATCTAACATACAAGAGGAATAGTTGAATTAAAACATAATAAACAGCGATTTATGTAATTTAAAAAGGAAAAAAAAAACTGATTTGCTATAAATCTTGTAATCCAATTTCGTCGAACTAAAAATTGAAAATACATTAATTGAAATTAAATTGTACTTTACTGGACTTTTTTGCTTGATTTGATTGTGGATTCCTAATTGGTAAATTAATTTTTAATGGTAAGATGAGAGCATAATTTATTTAGTCAGTATGGTGAAAGACTAGTGCTAATTAAAGAGCGTGCGCAGACGCACAGGTGGAGCGCGTTTTCACAGCGGCTTCTCACAAGAAGGTCTGGGACCACTTCACCAAGGCCCAGCGCAAGAACATAGAAATGTGGAAGAAACAGGCTGCGGTAAGTAAATTATCTCTTCAAAAGGCTCACAAAACCCAATGCTCCTTCTCACACTGTTAACTTTATTAAATATCTTCTCAAAGTGATCAATTAAAATTTTGCTAGGAGATAATATCTTCTTTCTGTTTGTTTTTTTTCTGTTTATACAATTTCTATGCTTTAAATATTTTTTTTTTCTTCCTATTCTTTCTTTTTTATACTTAATTGTTTGCCATCATTTTGTTTTATAATTAGTTTAGGAACTAATCATTTAAAAATTAAAAAAAAAAAATGGTTTTTAGTGATTCTATTCCTATGAGTAGTATGCTGTGCAGACCACAATAACCAGGGACCGAAACAGTTATTCGCTTCATGCTAATAGTTATAAAACTTTTTGAAAAAATCTATTTTATTTTTCTTATTTATTTATTTATTTATTTTTTAAACAAATATGTATATTATTCGAAGAGAAGGATGGTTGAAGTGATCGGCCAAATAAAAAATAGCAAAAATAAATAATAATTAGCCCTAACCAAAGGCTTGGAGATTAAGAAGTATATTATTCAATAATTTTTCTTAATAATATATTCCAAAAAAATATTTAAATAGTGATAATATTTTAAGTCTTAGCTCGACTTCAATTTTATTGACAATTATTTCAAAATAAATAAATAAAATAGAAATAAATATTAAATAATATATAAAAATGAATAAGATAAAATTTAAGGAAATAAAGCGTTAGTTTCAGTTTTAACTCTTTTAAGTTTTTCATTATGGATCATTAGAAAAAAAGAATTTCTAGACAGTCAAAGTAAATTAAAATTGTATCTTACTCTTTTAATCTTAAATTTATCAGTACGCTTTTTATAAGTTATAGCACATTTATACATTTTTAGAGTTTCAGTAAAGAATTTTAAATTGAAATAAAAATACTTGATTTCATAATTAAACAATTTTTTATATTATCTTACTAACATAAATAAAATAGTAAAATAAAATATTTTTGTTATAATAAAAAATAATAGTTTTTTCGGTCCCTGAAATCAACAAAAGATCATAAGTATGGATCCCTTAATAAAATACTAATCAGTAAAACTATAAACGTAATAAATCTTTTCTTTTTTTATTTGTACAATACTAATGGAAATCTTTCTCTTCTTATAAATTAAATTAAAGTAGATTTTGAGTATTATTTAGGGGTAATGTCAAATAATTTCATGTCATAAATAACAGGTGTTGTATATTTATTTATTTTTTTGTTATAAACAGTGTTATAAAGCTCAGTTTACGCTATTCCAGAACAGTAGAATATTCAGTATGGTTTTGACTAAATAAGAGATTTCTAACTCTTATCAGTGAATATATATACTTATTTGCAATATAATATGTTTGAATGACCGCCTAAAGTTAGGAACTTATTGCTTAAATAAATTATCATAGTTATTTAAAAAATTAAAAATTATTAGAAAGGCAAAATTAGTTAATTTTTACTTCGTTTTAGAATGTTAGGTCTTTGCTTCTTTCGTTTTGACATTCGGCCATTAATTTTTTTTTTTATACATTTTCTATCATTTGATATACAATACACAGTCGTTATCAAAAGCTAAAACTAGGACAGATTCTAATAGTTAACGTAGTGTAAGATGGAGCATTGATTACAAACATGTTAGGACGAAGGTGTGATAAAGCCATAAATGGCTCACTAGATGTTTGGGCTATGGTATATGGCATATGGTAGATATTAAGAGATCTCACTAAGGCATACTCCATAGGCATTATTGGATTAACTACAATGGATATACAATGATGTCGGGGGCAACAAATCTCAATTACTGGCCATTTCCTTTTTTTCTGTTGAATTAACGTTTGTGTTTTAATCATAGATATGATCTATATCCACTCGATCTTAAATTTTAAAAAGGTAAGTGATCAACTTATGAACTGCAAGGGTCTTGAATATTATTTTTTGTATTTGTTATAGTTATTAGTTTAACGAGTTGTATGTACGATTGTATCGTTTATTTTCTGTTGGAGCCTTAATTAAGTCAAAGATGCTGATTATGTCAGGTAATGAAGTTCATAATAATGGAAGACTCCTTATCCCTCAGAATGAAATGAACCATCTCTGCCCCCTACATCCTTCTCGTTGATTTTGATAACTGATTGAAATGACTACTACACGAGTTTGGTTTCCCAGTTCAGCCTAAAAGAAAAATTAACTTACTGAAGACAATTGAACCTTTAGATATCGAACATTAAGGTTCTTTGAAAAAAAGAAGAAAAAAAAGAAAAAAAAAATATATATATATATATATAGAAAAATCACTATTTCTAATCCTTTTCATACTAAAAACAATTACAATTTTATTAATGTTCAAGATATATCAAGTAATTTTATTTGTGAGTATTGTATTTCAAAACCACCCCATCCTTCAGGCATTACCGATTTTGTCACATTTTGAGGATTTAATCGTTTTCAATCTCCTGTGAGATATTAAAACTTTTTAATAATTGAATCACAGTTTTTGCACTACTGTCTTTTGTAACCTATATTTCATAAATATTTATATATATAATATTTTTTTGTCAGATCTTCATTTTTCATTCCGCTTTTTACATAGTTCATAAGCTGAATTATTTTTTCACACTTATTAATTTTGAAATATGGAAGACAAACTTAAACCGAATTTATTATGAAAAGACCTAATGGCCTGATATTGAAAGGTAGCCAGGAAGTACTGATCGATGGCAGTAGGACGGATAGACCCACTTTAACTCTCTGCATTACTGGCTAATATGTGTATCTCTTGAGATCCCGAAAACAAAATGTATTGTACAATTAATTCATTAGGCGTTTAAGTTTGGTTTCGAATTTTCCCCAGAGTCCATCGTACATCATACAACCATAGTCAAACTGAGAGGAAACTAGAATTTGACGGGACTTGTATAGAAGGAGATGGCGTAGACGGTTGAACTGTTTCAGGGTAGAGATAGTACGATGGGAAATTTTGGATATGTGTGGTTTCCAGGAGATGGTTTGATCAAAAGTAACACCAAGGTTTTTTTAAAGAAGTATAGAATGGAATAGGTGAGTTGTTCAGGAGAAGATTTGGGAGTACCGGGAAGGATTTGAGGAGCGAAGGGATCCGATCAAGATAGCTTTTGTCTTCTCGGCGATTAATGTGAATCTGTAGAGGTTTTTTCTGCACATATTCTTTTAATATCTTCCAGGAGTTTTGGTATGGCATCTGAGGAATTGGTCGGATTAAACAAGAGGTAAATTTAGACGTCGTTGACATACAGGTGGTATTGGCTGTGCAGGATAGAGGATGTGAGGTCATTGATATAGATGGAAAAGAGGGTGGGTGATAAGGAGGATTATAGGTCGAACAAGGGATACTGTAAGGAAACACCGTGTTAAGTGTTTATTTCCTAATGGTGCTGGACTTCTAAACTGAATATTTTAATTATGCAATTTTTTAAAAATTAAATATTATATTCTGTGATTTCTTGTCTAATTTTCAAATAAAGGGTTAGTTATGGTAGTTTTGTCTATTATTTATTTTTTTTTTTTTTTTTTTTTTGTTATATAAATATAGATCTGTGGGAGAACTATGTAATGTTGATATCAACTAAATTACTATTTATTATAAGGGAATTATTATTATTATTTATTGAAAGCCTAAAAATTTGTCATGAAAAGATATATTTAAGCTGTATACAGGACGGTCTCGATAATCCCAAAATGTAGATTGCATGGCCTGTTCGCATTATCAAAGGTTATATTTAAAATGATGTGAAAATTGCACAAGGTATCGAAAATATATGTATTATCAGTTAAATATAAACACATTGCTAACAAAAAAATATTTTTGAAAATGATCATATAATGTCCTTAAGTCTCTGATTTTGTTGCTAGAGAAAACTCACGATCTCGCAAATTCCTTAAAAGTACCAAATTTCAGTAGTCGATTTACCTGCTCTGAGCTAGTATTAAATGGCTTTAGGGCATTTCTATGACTTATTTATTCATTCATTCATTCATGTATGGCACAACATCCCGTCACCGAGACTGGGCCTCCTCCAAGAGCCTCCGCCAGTTGGCTCTGTCTTCTGCTGCAGCTCTCCAGTTCCGCACACCAAGCAGGGTTCTCGCATCATAGGCCACGTTGTCCAACCATCTCGTCCTCGGCCTTCCTACCCGTCTTACGAGGTGCAGCTCCTCCATCATTATTTTTTTTGGTATTTCAAGGGTGCTCATTCTGGCCACATGCCCTGCCCACCTTAGTCTGGCCAGTTTAATATACGTGACTACGTCGATGTCTGCATAGAGAGAACTGAGCTCCCTATTTTTTCTTTTCCTCCAGACATCACCCTCCTTTACTGGACCATAAATCCTTCTGAGGACTCCTCGCTCAAAGACACTCAGCTTCATCTCATCCCTTTTGGTCATCGTCCAAGCCTCTGAGCCATATGTCAAAACAGGCCGAACAAGGGTCTTGTATATGATCAGCTTGGTCTTCTTTGAGAGGTACCTACTTCTTAAGTGTCGGCCAAGTCCAAAGACACATCTATTGGCAGCCGTGATCCTTCTTTGTATTTCTTGAGCCATGTCATTCTTGCTATTGATTTCAGACCCAAGGTATATAAAACTTTTCACTCTCTCAAACTTAAAAGAACCTACCTCAAATGGAGAGTTCAGATCAACCTCACCGCCAACTCTCATATACTTAGTTTTCCTCTCGTTGACTTCTAGACCAAGTGGTCTTGCAGCTGCTTCAAGGCTTATAAACGCTTCTCTGAGAGCCCGTTCAGACCTACCTACTATGTCAATATCATCAGCAAAACCAAGAAGCTGTGTCAGGCGATTGAAGATTATATCTTTGGTCTGAATACCGGAGTCTCTTACAGCTTTCTCCTCTGCCAAATTGAACAATAGACAGGCGAGGGCATCCCCTTGCCTAACCCCACTGCTCACTTTAAACTCTTCGGAGTCGTCAGAACCGACGCGTATTCTGCATCTCGAGCTGTCCATGGTCATCTTGATTAGGCGTACGAGCTTCTGAGGGATGCTTAGCTCCTCCAAGGCACAGTATAGTTGCGTTCTATCAACGCTGTCGTATGCTGCTTTAAAGTCCAGGAATAAATGGTGGGTGACTACCTTACGCTCCATAGTCTTTTCTAGGATCATCCTCAGAGAGAACAGTTGATCAGTCGTTGAGCGTCCTCTTCGAAATCCAGCCTGATATTTCCCCAGTTCCTTTTCAGAATACGGGAGGATCCTCTCAAAAAGAATGTTAGAGAGCAGCTTATAAGCACACGAAAGGAGTGAGATTCCTCGATAGTTAGCGCATTCTGTTTGATCTCCTTTCTTATGTATTGGGCAGATAATGGCTGTTGCCCATTCCGTAGGCATAGCTTCCTTCTCCCAGATGGTCAGCATTAAATCATGCAGAGCTTTCTTGAGTTCTTCACCTCCACATTTCAACAGCTCTGACTGGATTCCGTCCGGGCCTGGCGCCTTTCCATTTTTCAATTTCCTCAGGGCGTTTTCCATTTCCTCCTCATCCGGGGGTTCAATAGAATTCAGGGAGTCTTCCTTCATTACACCTACTTCTCCAGGCACCGTTCCTCTGTTTAATGCGCCTTTGAAATGTTGTACCCATCTCCTTAGTACGTCATCTTTGTGGCTTAAAAGAGTTCCATTTGTGTCTTTGCATGCCGTCACTCTGGGCCTAAAAGCTGCCCTACCCTCGTTTATTCTCTGAAAGAACAGGCGACTTTCATTTTGGCCTCGCAATGCCTCTGTGTCCTCCATGTTCTTATTTTCCCAAGCTCTTCTCTTTCCGCGGAATAATCTCTTCTCTTCGCGTCTTTTTCTTCTATATGTTTCTTGGGAGAGCCTTGTGGGACGCTGAACCTTCTTTCTGTAGGCTTCATTTTTCACTTTTACTGCTTGAAGGCACTCAGCATCAAACCATGGGGGCCTTCTAGATTTAGTCTCGTAGCCAAGAGCTTCTTCTGCTGCCTGTTTCATTGCGTTGCTGCATCTCTTCCACTGTTCATCGACCATAGAGCTGTCATTAATTACTTCTTCATTAAGTTTCGTCTCCACAGCTTGTTGATACGAATATTGGTGGTCTGAGTCTGATGACTTATTTATAATGAAAACTAAAATGGGTGTAAAGATATTTTGCAGTGAAAAAAAAATTAAAATATGAACGTATTCTATACCTAATTTTTATCAAACCAATCTTTACTGACATTAAAATCTGCTTTATCACTCTTCTTAAAAAAAATTAAATAAAAACTTTGACTTTTCAGCTCATATATCACCGGATATTGGACACTCTCGTGATCGCTGCTGCGAAAAACATATATAAAGAGATTCCTCATCTTCTGGATGATCATCTAGTTTTAATGTTTTCCCTTTAGAGACAACACAATATGATTTCAACACTACCCAGTAATGTGTCCTGAGAACCTTTAACTTTTTTTTCTTTCTTGTCCATATTACGATGGGTTTCAGATTAATGAGACCATCCTGTGTGTGCTGTAAGAACTCATTTTCAAAATTTACTGATAGGCTCATTAAAGTTCTTAATTTAAATAAATAGAGTAAAACTAGAAAGCTACGATTATATACATTTAATTTATCCATATTCGTACTGTATATTTAAGAGATAATTTTTTTCCTAATTTATTGGTAAGACATATCCATTAGACTAACATTAAACTAACCTTGGTGTTGGGTGTAAGGGTTCATACCTCCCACTAGTTGATAACAGATGGAAGAAGATGCCAGGAATTGAGAATTGTTGACTACCCAGAATCAATCGTTGTGCATCCATCCGGTAAGTTCTATCTAGGGCTCATTGCAGCCCATTCTCTAGTCACGTACCTCTTAACACACAAGATCTGTGGATCTCGTCAGGCAATCTGAGTTCACGAGGAGAATCTAAGTTGTAAACTTATTGACAGCGTAAATTTTATCTGACATGAGGTTTAATAAAACAAATTTTTTTTTATTTATAAAATTTTTTTAAATAGTTATATAAAATTTTAATCGCACTTAATGCAATTGTTGCACAGGTTTTACAAACAAGAAAAAATATATATCTAAATTTCATAGACTGCAATAATTCTGAGTCTTAATTATTTGAATGTGATGGCATGATATTATTTTTTAATAATGTTACTAATTGTGATCTTAGGTTATCGATTCAAATTATTCTTAAAGCTTTATACCCTCTTCTCACTCATTAAAAATAAAAGTATAAGTTTCAATTTATAATCAATTTAATTGTTGATTTTGCTTTCCTTTTGATTGAACTCTCCTGGAACTTTATCTAGACCAGAAGCTGTTTTTCTTTTGCACTAGTGTTAATAATATGTAGCATCAAGTGTTGAATATTCTACACTTCTACTAATTTTACAAGATAATGAAGAGCTAGTCTCTATCATGTTTAAATTTTTGAAGTTTACTATAATAGAATATAAATTATATTAAAATGCCAATGACCCTTTAGGATAGAGGTGATAAAAAGGAAAAAAAAAATTAATGTTTATATTTAAAAACAATTATTATTATTTTTAAAAAAATGAAATAACAAGAACAAAAAATATATACATTTTTGATAAGTGATGGTTTATTAACTATGGCGACTTACCTATCCGCATTAAAGTTGGATTATGTGTACATAATGAGTGAATATCTTAATTGTGCCTGCTGTAATGAATAAAGTTTGTCTCTGCATTTTATTTATAATGATTGGAAATTTTTATTTATTTATTTATTGTTACATTCCGCATCTACCCGATCGGGTCATTAGCGGCTTTAGATGTAATCAAATTAAGTGTACAAATTTAATGTCTTTTATAAATTCAAACACTTTTTGTAATTGCAAATAATATGTATGGAAAGCTCTGTTTGCATTAGTGTATACATTTAACCAAATCGATTAGTTCATCTTATAAACATAAACAGATATAGAACATTTCACCCAAGTCTGTAGGAAATGGTCGTCTTATGTAAATATTTGCATAATTTAAATTAAATTATAATAGGACTATATAATATTATAAACCACATTAATTTAGGACATTTTATGCTGAAACATGTCTTTAAAAATTAAAGCATAAATAGTTACAGCTGTATTTTTTTAAAAATCATTATTCTATATAATTAAGACTCAGTTTTAAATTATATCAAATATCCAACATTATTTCAGAAAATATTTTTACTCCAGATTAGTTGGCCCATGAAATTGTATAAAGATTTTTATTCTCTTACACCTAGTAACAGTTCTCTGTTTCTGCAGGAGATAAAAGCGGTTGAGTTAGAGGAACACCTGAATACAGGTGCAGAGGAAGAAATGGAACTTTCTGATGAAGAGGAAGGTGTCCCGAAGAAAAAGTTTAAAGGAGATGATAAAATTAATGCTCTAAAGGTATTATTACTATTATTTTTATTAAATTTATATCTTTATTCTATATACAATTATTCGTATAATCTTTTAGTCCTTTCTATCATGGTTACTTAAGTTCCCTTTTTTTTTTCTTTTATAAATGTTAGAAACTGAATTATAATTTTTTAGTTTCATTAATTGAATATGTAATGAGTTTCTTATATTTTTGTATTATTGAATTTTCAACTTTTTACATTTGACTCCTAGGAAGAAAACGACAGCCTCAGGTGCCAGTTAGAAGCTTACAAAAACGAAGTAGACCTCGTCAGGACGGAGCTGAAAGCTGAGCTGGAGCAGACTGAATCTCAGCTCAAACTGGCACAGCAGACATTGCATGGGATGCAACAGGTACATTTCAATTGTCTATTTGCTCTGTCAAACGGTTTTCTTCATTATCTAAAGTAGCATAAACTATTTTTTTCTTAATAAATTGTTTTATGGATGTAATAATATATCCAACTTTAGCTAAAAATTCAAGGTATCAACTATTTTTTTTTATTATTAGTTAACCAAATAACCAACCACGTTTCCCATTTTTTCCTAACGTCAATTCGTTTCCACTAATTTAACATAAAGGGTGATTAAGGACTTTAGGCAAATCATTTGATGAGATGATATATGAGAATGAAATTGAACGAGCTATCAAAAAGATGAAGACAGTGAAACTTTTCCAAATACTTTTTCATAAAGCCTGGGACTAGATGACAATTCCTAAAGAATGGAATTATAATGTCTTAATTCCAGTACTCTACAAAGGCAGTCAGACATAATGATCCTACTATAGACCCATACTTCTATCTCCATTGGTATACTGATATATACGTCCATCCTTGAAAGTGAAGACAGAGACCTCTGATCGAGCCGCTCTTTGTAGAAGAACAAGCTTGTTTCTGGCTTAGACGACAAACACAGGTTCACGTATTCTTCCTCAGAAATGTATTATAAAAATCCCGGTGTCTAGTTTAAAATATGTACCTCGCCTTGCTTGACATTTAGCCAGTTGCATTTGATCTAAAGAACTGAATATGGCAGGCACTCAAGAATTAAGAATGTTCTAAGCCTGGTAGAAGCCATTAAGTCCATACTCAAAGTTCCAAAAGGAATTGTCAGGCTAAATGAAGAGAAGTATATTAACATAGCTAGGAGTGGTAAAAAAAGATGATAGTCTAAGCTAATAATAATATATATAATAGAGAGCTGTGGCAATCCAGGTTATACTCCTATGCTGATAGGCACAACAGAACGATTGCGAAAAAAATCCATGATTAGCTATAGAAGAAAAAATATTTTTCCAGGTGGAAATCAAATGGCCAGAAATAAATTGTACTACCAATGTATAATAAACCTTTAGAAAATGAAAAATTTTGAGAAAAATCAATGTTTTAAATATATTCATAGATGTTATTAGACGAAACATGCATACATTTCTCAGATTAGATTGGTGAGGAAAACATATGGTAAGTAATTGTATTAAAAGAATATGTGCTATCAAGAGTTTTTACATCCATTAACCTATATATATTTTTATGCAGAGTTGAAGTGGCTTTATCCTTCCTACCATCGTAAATATTTCCTGGCATCCTTCCTCTTTCAAGTCATCCAATTGCACCGCCCCTCATACATCTCCGAGCTCCTTAAATTCAAATCCTCTGTTCGTTCCCGCAATACTCGTTCCCTATCTTCTGATTTATACATAAGGGCCCACCGAACAGCTGCTTTAGACAGATCTTTCATTATCCGATCCTCATCCCTTTGGAACTCCATCCCCTCTCACATTCGTCAATCCAATACCCTTCCTATCTTTAAATCCTGCCTGTTCAATCATTTCTTATCCATCCAGTCCCCATGAAATTGTAAATAGATACTAATGTAAATATGTATATAAATTATTAGTTCGTTCTTCATTATTTTTACTTCATCCTTTTGTTTTTTCTTTTTCAATATTTTATTTTTTATTATTAACTGATTAAAATTAGAAAGTAACTTATAATTTTTCATTTTTTTACTATAACTGTTTAATTACTCTGTCTTTTTATTTATATATCTCTAAGGCTCCTTAGCCCATATTTATGTCTTTCTGTATTATTCTAAAGGGACTCGTCCCAGAATAAATAAAGTATTATTATTATATATATGAAAATACCCACTTCTATTCAAAGCAATGTGATAAGTGAAAGTTATGTGATCCACTTCCTGTATCATATTGCTCTAGAAAATGGGATTAGTAATTTTTAAAAAATGATAAAAGATACCATGTTCAACATATCTTAGAGAATTAATTTATCTTTTTTATTTATAGCAACTGGTGGATGCTAAAACAAAACAAAGCATTGAAGAAACGAAGGTGTCCCAACTGGAGGCTAAGCTAGCACAGGTGTCGGGCAGCAGCGACTCCAACGACAGTTCTACCAACCTCCAGTCTGTTGTATCCTCTACTATAGTTGAAGAAGAGGCCAGGCTAATAGGTAATGACATTAGAACTTATTAAAATTACATAGTTTTAACCTGTTAGAACACTGTCATCACCACCTATGCTGATGACACGTGTATCCTATCAGTTAATAATGATCCATCTATTGCATCCCAAACTCTTCAATCACACATCACAAGTCTTGAAAAATGGTGTCAAAACTGTAGGATTAAAATAAATCCCATCAAATTACCTTTACTCTTCGTCGTAAACCTATGACTTCCTGTCCTACAGTATCCTTCAACAATAACCCACTTATTCCTGTTGAGCAAATCCGATACCTAGGACTCCATCTGGACAAACGACTCACTTGGAACCCCCATATCAGACTGAAATGACTAGAAACCGCCTGACGTTTTCGACTGCTGCAGCTCTTACTAGACAAATGCTTGTATACTTCCAATTATTTACAAAAGACTCATATATATTACTATAATAAGGCTTATTTGGACTTACGGGATCAAGCTGTGGGGCTCTACTAAACCATCAAATTCCTCTCGTATCCAATCCCTACAATCCAAAATCCTTTGCAAAATCCTCAATGCTCCCTACTTTGTCCCAAATAAAAACGACCTTAATGTACCATCTGTTTCCGATTTAGCTCAATCCAGATACCTATCCTTCCATAATAAACTCCTGAACCATCTGAGGCGTCTGAAAAGAAGATGGCCTGGCGACCTTCTAATATAGAAATATAATTCATAATTGGTAATTGGTTGACTGTCGTGGATAATGAAGAGAAGAATAGTTGGGGTGTTCAATCAAAAAGGAAGGCAAAAATAAATTATAATATTTATTTTTTACATATGCCGACGTTTTCATTTCACATTTCATTTTACTTTATATTTATCTATTTTATTTTTCTAATAATTTTTTTTTATTTAATTTTTTTTTAAATTATTTATTATCTTTTTTACCATCATTACTTATGTTTCTCATACCTTGTTATCTGGTTATTTTCTTAGCCCTGATGAAGGCCTGAACTTCAGGTCGAAACGTCGGCATATGTAAAAAATAAATATTATAATTTATTTTTGCCTTCCTTTTTGACTGAACACCCCAACTATTCTTCTCTTCTTCATAGAAATATAATTGGTGTGCTACCAATGGGTAGTTTCTCTTCATGTTGTACATGTCATGTTACTTATTTCATATTTGTTAGTTGTATTTATCATTTAATACAGTTGTAAATTTCAATAATAAAAAAACAAAAAAAACTTAACCTTACTGATATGTTCTTGTTTATTTTTCTTAGGCCTCATCTCTATGTTCCTTCACGTACACCCTTTTGGAGCCGGCCTAGACTACGTGTGGTCCTACCTCCAGAAGATAACAGGGCCTTCGATAAAACCAGCCCAAGTAGAATCTCTCCTCCAAAGGTTTCCAACTCTCTTCCAGCAGGAACTTTGTGGAATAGGTAAGAATAACCTCTAAATTTGTTGAGAAACTTTGTTATCTTAAAACTGATTTTTCATTGTTCATTTGAAATTTTTTTTTTTTATAAAAAAACAATTTTGTACAATTTCCAAGTGTATTACAAAGACACCGAAAAGCGATTATTATGTTATTTATGCCTGTAATGTATTTACAGGTGCTAATATGGAGAGAAGATGGGTAATAACCGCATTCAAAAACAAAGATCAAACCCAGCCCATGGCCAATTAGTGTCATCATCATCATCATTATCAGGAATTATCATCTGGATTGTAACTTTTGAATTTATCTAAAACGTAACTGGGCCATTTTTATACACTGAGAAGTTTTTAATTAGTTGCTAGATATGGCTGATGCCCAATCTGACTGTGAAAAGACTTTTAATTAGAAAGCAAATCGTTAAAAAAAAAAATTATTCAACAAAATAATATTTATTGATGATTGAATTTTGTTTGTGAGTGTTTTGGAATTTTTAAAGTATATATATAAATTTGTATATGATTATATACGATGTTGATCTATCCCAGTTTATTTGGGAAGTTGTTTTGTTCTGTTAATTTTGTTAAATAAATTGTATTATAATTTTATTTGTCTGTTTGTTAAATCCTTGTTTCTTTTTAAATAAATAAAAATATTTTCTACAAGAAATATGGTAAGTTCATATTTTATCTGCACATATCCTGAAATAATATTAATATTACATTATTATTATTAAGAAATAGGTACTGCTGTACAATTGTTGCTCCACTATGATGGGTGACACAAGATCCCATTATCAAATTTTAAATGGCCAAGAGTGTCCAATAGTAGGTGTAGGTAGCGTTGCCATTAGCATCTCCATGTTTGTGCAAGATTTTAACGTACCATATGGAGATCGAGATTGATCGACCTCGTACCCCATACATAATTTTTGCTTACTTATCCAAAGTTATATTTTTATTAACAAAGTTTATGTATGTTTTACAATTATTTTTACCAATGGGGGGTTGGTTTATCTCTTTTGATTGAGCAGAAAAAAAGAAACAGGTATGTAATTAAGACCCTAATCTTAACTGAAAAAGACCAGTTGGGAGTTTACGGAAGTCGTAAATCTTTATGTGAATAAAGGGAGGAACACATTGTCAATCTTCAGCCATTCTTGGAATCCTATTTGTAGTGTGATCTTAGCCCACTTGTCAAAATGGTGCAACACTTGTACATTAGTACCAAGCTATGTTATATCTTTGACATCTATTTATTTTTTTCACCTTTAAATTGGTTATATATATATATATATATATATATATATATATATATATATATATATATATATATATATATATATATATATATATATATATTATACAAAGATGGGATGCAATAATGATAATTTATGAACAGTTAATTAATAAATTTTTGTGTCCCAAAATACATAAATACAAATATTTTTATCAATTTTAAAAAACTTTTGTTTAGTAACGTTTCACCACCTTAACCATTTTCAAACATTTCTTCATATATATTACCACCTGTCTAAATTTTCGTAAAAGTATTTGTCAATGGCTTCATATCAAAGACAGACACCTGTCATTTTCAGAAAGTGGAGAAAACATCAATTTTTGTTTATAGTTTTAACTCAACTGTTTCTGCTGATTTTATTTAAGAATATTCAAGTTAAATCATTAGAATTGGTTTTAATTGAAGCTATAGGAAATTAGGTTTTTCTCAACTTTTTAAAAATGATAAGACATCTGTCTTCAATTTCAAGCCATTCATCTGTTTTGTTTTTTAACATGTTATAAGTTTATCCACCAGAGTGCAGCAAAATTACTGTTTTCCTCCATTTTAACCACAGTTATAATGAGATTTATATAAGAAATGTGGTATGTAATAAAAATTTGAAAATAGTGCGGATCTGTGTTGTTAAATGGTTATCTACATGTGCTTATAAGATAAGGTTAGTAGAAATCGATAAAGTTTCTTAAATAAATTTTTCCTCAAAAAAAAAGAAACAAAAATGAAAAATGAAAAAACATACAATTTTAGCAAATGAATATTATTATATATATATGAATATTATATTATTGTTATTTATCCAAAAAATATTTAGAATATGTACATAGTAAAAAAGATTATTTCCTATTTTTAGAATGAAATAATAACCACCCATAAAATTCTTGTCTAAATGAGGATATTGACAAATATTTTTACAAAAATTTAGACAGGTGGTAGTAATATGAATAAAGAAATGTTTGAAAATGTCCAAGCGGTGAAAACTTTACAAATATATGTGGTATAACTAAATAAAAGTTTTTTTTTTAATTTATAAAGACATTTTTATTTGTTTATATGTATTATGGAATAAAATATAGGTCCAAAAATTTGTTAATTAACTGTTAAAAAAATTTAATTTATGTTTTTTTGTGGCTCATAATTTCAATGGTGGATGAGATAAGTATAATTGGAAATCTTATCAAGCAGCAATGCATCTCCTAGGCCTAGAGCGTAAACAATAAGGTTTAATTAAATTTTTAAACAACATTATTCTTAGACAGACAGTAAAATACTAATAAGGGTTTCAATAAATAAAGATTTTTTTCAAATAACTTTTTTATTTCATACAATTCAAAAAATACTCAAGATCTTTAACATTCAACAATAAATACTTTTCATTCCTCAGTTAAATTTTACAAGATAATCTCCCCTTGACCAATGTACACTTAAAATAAATGATAAATCATAAAAAAAAAAAAAAAAAAAAAATGTGCAATAACAATTTAAAAATAATTTATATTTTATAAGATTTTAGTAACAGCAAGAAATATCTCATTCACAATCGATTAACAAATAGCATTTAGGCAAGACATGATAAGGCAAGATTTTGTTTATGTAACTTCAGTAAAGTAACCAAATAGTTCACTTCTATTTATTTTATAAAAATAAATATTTTTAATCTATAAGGAATAAAATATATTTGTTTATAAAACTAACAAACCTATAAAACATCATAAAAACTAATTATTATTATGCATACAACAAAATAAAATTTATGATCTCACTTAAAATAATGTCTTTTTAGACAAATTTTGAAACTGCTTACAATAATAATGGTCAGTTTCCATCCCTATCTCCTTCTGTTAACATGGATAAAAATCACAGCAGCAATTAGCATATCATATAACATAAATTTAACATTAATGATGTTAAGTAGAATATTAAGTGCATATTTTTCTTTTTAACTATCGATTTAAGATTTGGCGTTTTAAGGAAATATGAACTAATAAATAGAAGAAACAATTTTTTTTTTTTAATGAGAGTTCAACCGTATAAAATATTTCAATACCATACATTTGATTAAAAACATATAGAGATCAGTATATCATTAATGGATGCAAGATCTGATATTATTTGTTAATTTAAAAAAAAAAAAAGAGTAATAATAATTGCCACATTTGTCCTATTGTCTCTAATTAATGCATGGTATTGTAATTTTAAAGGTTGGTAACACTTCAGCAGCAACCTTGCAAAAGCCTACTAGAGAAAAACTAAAATTATTCATAAGGCATGTGTATATTTTAGTAAATGAACCAGGATTTTCTATTAAATTTTTATTGCATGTTTAAAACAAATATGTACTGTTCTGTATATTGACATTTTTGGTTTGTATTTTTGAATTCATGCTAGGCCAAAATTGACCAGCAAAATTTAAAGTACTTTTAAAATAAAATTGTACTTAAATGCTTTTGCAGCGTGGCTGTCAACTTGCTATGTAACATATTCTAATGCAGAATAAATTAATAGTTTTACTAAATATTAACATAATTTTAGTTTGTTTTTCTTTTAATTGATATTAAAGTGTTTTTTTTACACATTTAAATAATGACAAAAAAATTAATCATTAAAGAAAAAAAAATATATATATATGTATATGCTAAAATTTAAATATAGACATAATATAACACTGTTTTTAGATAATTTTTTATTAGATAAAGAACCTAATGATTAATAGATTCAAGATAAGACAATTGTATATTTTGCTGATTTTAACAAATAACTGAAATGTCTACCAAATAAGCGCTAGTAAACCTAATCCTCATTCTTTCATTTAAATAAAATCGAATTGGCACTTGTTTCCCATAATGTTGTTTATAAATTTCAGATAGATACTATTCTTCTTAACACCTGGTTTAATACATCATTTAATATTTATATTCTTATGGACTATATTAATACTTTTTAGCTTTCAACAAATGCAATCTTAAAACATTAATTCAATAATACTTCATAAAGTTACGGATCACAGTTAAAAAGGGTACATTTTTCATTTTAAGGATAAAAAGTTGTATGCTAGACATACGCTAACTTGATTTTATCACTTGGCTAATATTATACACAGCGTAGATTCACTTTTATTATTTATTCAAAAGTCAATCGCATCTACAAGCAAATAATGTGAGCAATTATTTTAGACAATTTAGCACCCTGTGATGAACAAAACAAATGATTAATAGGGAAAACAAATTGTTGCAAAATAAAATGTGAAACACCTTAAAAGAAGTAAAATCAAAACTAATGAATCATCACCACACGTGAGATTTAAAAAATAATGGAATTATTTAGATTCGTTAAGAAAAAGTATAATATTGCAAAGCATTATAGATTATTATCTTCAGAATAGATAAAAAGTATATCGAAGCATTCAACAAGTGCTTAACATTTAGTAACAGACCAATAACAGAGATTAAATAAAAATATAAACACGGACTAATTGAGCAAAACCCATTTGAAGAAAATTTCATTAAAATGCAATTTACAGACTTTTTTTAATATATATTTTAAGATATTAAAATGGACATAAGTCTAAAACTTGGTAACAAAACTCTGTGTGACTAGTATACAATAAATTATAGAAATATAACAATGCCTTCACCATAAAATGTGCACTAAAAACTCTCAACAATGTTTTAAATATTTAAAATATAGAAATTACAAAAACAGTTTCAAGCCACAAACACATATTACAGTGCTATATTATAGAGTGGCCAGCAAACTGAAAAAAACGGATACACTATTCTAGGTTTATAGGTTGTGTACTTTTCACAACAAATAGATTAACCATTGGAAAAATCATATTTTATGCATGTACCTTATATAATACATACATCACCTTAATAATACACACAAATTTTACTCTCGAAATTATAAAATTGATTGGCTTGATTATGAATAAACCTAGCCGATTCCTCTCCTTGTTTTTGGATTTTCCATACGTGAAAGATAGAGAAATATAAATTTTTTTTTTTAAATATTCCAACAATTACGTAGACCTTTCTAAAGATAATTTCAAAAGTAATATTACAGGATATTTCCTAGTTTTATATAAAATTCATGCATAATACCCTTTTTTCTATTTAACTTAAATTCACACATTTGTCATTGGTTTCTCAAGTTTCATCAACCGCTGGCCACACTAAAGTAACAATAACAACAAAGAACAAGTTAGGAACTAATAAAAGTTGTTCAATGATTTATTACTCTTCTTTTCAACTATATTAAATAAATTTATTAAGTTTTTAATAAGTGCTGTTATATAGTAACACTCAGGAAACATACCTACAAGTATCTTTTTCCTATAACCACATGGAATAAACAGCAACATATTTATATCAAATGATCAGACTTATAATCTTTGGTTATACATCAGTAAATGGATAACCTGAAATGAACTTAAACCAGTTAAAATATAATTTAGTCTTACAGACAATTATATAAACCCAGATTGAAGGAAATGCATTGACATCAATGGTTTATCCACTTCTTTCAGCTATATCCACTGCTCATTTCTATAAAAAGTAATAAGCCAACAAATAACAGTAATGAAATTGACATAAAACAAAGAAATGATGAATTATTTGCATATGGATGAAATCAATAAGATCTTTGTTATTAATATGTTATTCTACAACTCATGATGTGTTATTCATGTATCATTACATATGAATGTATTAGGTTCCAATTTAAAAATAAAATATTCCTTTGAGGATGGTTTTAGTTATGAAAAGTTTTAAGTATAAATCAGTAAAAAAACACACCAAGAGACAGAAATCCAACATTAGGTTATGATTTGAAAAATTCCAACTATCAGTCTCAAGTCTCCAAAATGCTGGTAAAAACAAACAAACCCTTCAAAATTTCGCCAATGCGGGAACTATCAGGAAAGAAAAGAAAAGCAAATCTAAGATCATGTCACTCCATGGCCTCCACTCACATACTCTTACTCGAGTTTAATTTTACCTTCATTTTGGAGACATATGGCTGTATGGTTCGAGTTTTTCAAAATTTTAACATAAATAAAGGGAGCACACACTAAACAAGTGTTGTTTAAACAAGCTGTTATAGTGACTATACTGGAGGAGAACAACAGTTTATATACTTAAGCAAACAACATCCGAAATGATTATAACTTTATATTATTTTTGTTACCAGTAGTTAAAATAAATATTTAAATTACCATTACAAATGAGCGAGATAGAAACAGTGTGCTCAATCTATCAACCTCTAGCAAAAATCTTGATCGCTGACGGCAGTATCTCAGCTTGCAAAGGCCCAAGGTTGATGGCCTCGCCATCCACTGTCAGTTGGCCAGATTCAGGTTCGATTCTCAATGCAGTTACTGGGATCATTTCTGCCTCAGGTACTTTCACATGAGAGCCGTTTGAGAGGCCAACCAGAAACTGTAAATTTCAGGACATATTTAATAAGATAAAACATAATTAGTAGTTTTTATATTTCTTCTAGATTAAAAATAATGAAACCCAAGCCTACCTGCATGAGATGAGGTCTAGAAATCCCTGCCCTGATTATGCACAGCCAAATGCACCCATCGTCCAACTTAGCTAACGGAGCAAACAAACAATCAGTCATCAAGTGCGTTGGGTAAGAAGCGTGGACAAGAACGAATTCACCTAAAAACGTCAATGATTAGCTTAATAGTCAATAGCTTACAGAGCTATACCATTTATTACCTAAAATAATCTTGTATTGTTAATAATAGAATTTTAATTCCAGAAAATTTTTAAAACTATATTAAAATAATTTTAATTTATATATTATTTCTCCATCACAACTTTACCAACAAGTTAAAATTCAAATTACTGCATCTAAAATCATAAAATTAAATAATAAATTAGCAAATTTTTTCAATCGCTTAATTTTTTTTTTTTTTTAATAATGAACCCGTCATTGCAATTAAAGTTTTAACAACATTTACTTACACAATATCATATAATTACTTAAATAATTACATGCTGCAGTATTTTTTTTTAATTTCATTTAATTTTGACAAGTAAGCAAAGTTGTGTTTGAGAAATAATCTCATCGATATTGCAAACAGTCACTAAGTGCATTTTTGATATAGGTTAACTTTCAAAAATATTTTTATGAATTTTGACTTTATTTATTGATATAAAAAGACTGTAAGGGTATGAAAATGAAACAAGCCCTTTAATAAATCAAATATAGTCAACCGCAAGCACATTCTGATTTCGTAAATTTCTCAAATTTTCTGATTTCATAAAGGAAAAATTGTTCAAAGTTCTTAATTATTTAAGATTATTAAATGTCACTTAATGACTTTTTGCAACAAACCGACGATATAATGAATACAAATTGAGAACTTAAACTATTTAATAAATTTTTATTTATCTATCCTAGAATATTGGAGACCAATATGATGAGTATAGTTTATCTTAAAGGTTTAATTCATCATTTTGTATAATTAGCAATAAATATAAGCTGAGTAAGAGAGAAGTGGCAAAAGAAACAAAATTAGCCGTATATGGCTCGATGTTCGTTCCTATCTTCACTTATGGAAGCTAATCCTGGGCCCTAAAGCAATGCAATCGTAGCCGCCTCCAAAGCCTGGAAATGAGGTGTCTAAGGAAAATAGAGGAGAATACCAAGAGAGACTGGATATGTAACATGATATGGACTACACTCAAAATTAAATCCCTCAAACAGATAATAGAGAAAGGGCAGCTTTGCTGCTTCAGTGATGTAATAAGGATGGATGACTGCCGTTCAGCGAAGAAAACTATGGAGGCTAAACCAGCGGAAAAATTACCTGGAAAAAGGCCAAGAAATACATGGGAGGATAATCTCAAAAATATTCTTACAGTTAAAGGATGGCCGGAAGCCAGGAGAACGCCCTCAACGTAGACAGATAAAACTCCTTGTTCAAATATTATTATTGAATAAGAAGAAAATATAAGTTGAAATAAAATCAATATTAAGAAGGCTACTAGGGAATTTTAAAATGTTTTTAATCATAAAAAATAACAAGTAAAGATAATATACTGAAAATTTTCAAATTTCATTGATCGATGATACAGTGTTCTATATATTTTTTATTTTAATGATTAATTTATCAAAATGAGTGAATAAACATGATGGTTAATCCTACTTTCAAAGAACACTATTACAATATGAAAATGAATGAAGAAAGTAAAACAAATATTTTTAATTTCAAGAAAATAAAATCAGATAGCATAAGTAAGGGCACTGTACCCACAATTATATCTAATTAAAATAAAGAAAAAAGTTATTATCTGATTAACCTTCAATTGAAGTCCAAGACGGAGGTACGCTTTGACTCAGGGGAGGAAGGTCAGAGGTCGGACCATACAGCTTGACCGCATCCTCTGCGAGGCTTTCGTAGCTTGAGCTAGCGACAGAGAGGAAGGTGCTCTTTTTAGAAACAACCGAGTAAAAGCTATCTCTCCTTTCATCTTCTGAAACAACGCTTCTCTAAAAAATATGCAGTTTAGATTAGAGATTTCTAGATTGTTTTAAAATAACCATGCAAAAATATAAATATAATTACGTTGTTAACAAAAAATCTTTTGATAAATTTACTTACAGCATCAAAATCATCCTGTGCTATCAATTGATGTGCAGCTACAGGAAGATATGATATTCTTCCTTTATAAGATCTAAGACCTAAAAATGGCAACAATTAAATTGAAATAATATCAACGCTACCTATTATCTCCCTACAACTATCTTTATAAACTGCATTTCCTCTTTATTTATTATCATTATAATATGACACCTCAACAATACGAGAGCCAAAATTTTATTATTTGGATCTCTATCAACTCAGAGAGCAGTAATATATCAAATATGAGGACAAACTAATAAATACAATAAGTAATAGACAAAAAAAAAAAAAGGTGCTTTATGTGTATGTGTGTCATTACCTAATGACCTATTACCAGCTACAAAAAAAACTTCAAGAACATTTAAATAGAATTTGTGATTGGGCAAGAGCTAACAAGTTGAAGTTGAATGCGGAAAATATGAAAGCAATCCAAGTAGGCTCCAATCACCTCCTTAAAACTGTTCCTAAAACTCCAAATCTGTTCCTACATGATAATCCCATAAAATATTACCGCACCATTAAAAACCTAGGAATAACTTTTGATCAAACCCTTTTCCGGAAAAACCATGTATCAAATGTCTCCTGCCATACCTTTTCTACCTTAAAACGTCTAAATTACCTCCATCACCTATTTTCATTCGAAACACAATGGATCCAAGTCATGTCCTCAAAATTTCTCCACTTTGACTGTTGCTGTACAGTAGATTGGGGGGGAGGGGTCTCTGAGGATCTCAAGAGATGCTTCTGTTTCCTGTTTTTATGAAGAGTTGAAGTGGCTTTATCCTTCCTACCGTCGTAAGTATTTCCTGGCATCCTTCCTCTTTCCAATCCCGCCGTCCTTCATACATCCCCAAACTCCAATTCAAATCCTCGATTCATTCCCACAGTACCCGATGTAGGTCTTCAGATCAATACACTACGGCCCACCGAACCGCTCGAAAGATCGTTCATTATGCGATACTCATCCCTGTGGAACTCCATCTCTTCCTACATCCGTCGCTCCAATACTCTCCCTACCTTTAAAGCCCGCCTTGTTTAATAATTTTTTATCCATCCAGGCCCCAGAAAATTGTAAATAGATATTACTGTAAATATGTATATAAATTAATATGTTAACTCTAACAAAAATAATTTGTTTGAGTTGTGCCCCTTGTATTCTTGCAGTGCAATGTGAATTCTTTTAGCCCGTGATACAGACCCCTGTTATCAAATTATTAACAATCACCCATAACTTTGTGAACGGCTTCATCTTATTTTAAACTATAACTTTTTTATCTGCAAAAATTATCAGAAATGGGGCATTTTCTCAATTTTATTAATTAAGGACATTTTATTTATTTTTATTAAGCATTTTCTATTAAATTAATAAGGTACTTAAAACTCATAAATACCCATTTGCTTTCCACTAGAATTTTAAGATAATTCTTTTCCTTTCTGTTCCTGATTCTTAGTGTAGAGGAGCCACTATCCATTGGAAATAGTTCACTTGGTTCTTTGCGAGCGACTTCAATTAATCAACAATTTTCTTTCCTCTTTTTACAGTCAACGAAATGATATATTAATTGCATAATATCCTATATGCCTGCCTAATAGTTGGTCGAACAACAATTATTTCATTTATTTATTAATCACTTTTGTAGTAATTTATGGAAGAAAATTATCAGCAGAGCATGGCCAACTGCTCCCATTTATTTCCTGATCTTGTCTCTTCGTATTCCTTTCACTATTCCGAAAGGATATTTAATTTTTGAATCATATGTCTGCCTAACATCAGCCATCACTCAGCGTAATAAAGCAGAACTAATTTAAGGACTTGTGGAACTAACTTCTGTATTTATGTGGTTTTATTATATGTATTTGTTACATAAGATATATCTCCTCAATTTCCTTTAAATTATCATTACTTTTTATGTATTTTCACATAAAATTCACACTTTATTTTTATTAATCAATTTATTAATTCTGTATATGGGATTCTTATAATAGTTCTAATATTGTCTAGAGATAGTCTAAAAAGTGATACAAAATATTTGTATACATTAAACAGTAAATATTTATAGTATATTTTATTTTTACCTCTTCCCAAATATTATCTTCAAAACCGAAACTAATATTAATTGTTTATATATAATATCTAAAATAAAGATTTTCATAAACAGCAGTCTTAAAGATATTTATATAAATCAACTGAAAAAGGATTACCAATAAGCTTTGCCACGCTCCAGATAGTGAATCGCTGACTACCGATCCCCCTCAGTCTCTCACTTTCAATGTCAACATCAGATATAAGTCCCCATCCAATCGACAGGAATGAAAATAATACCTGAAACATAAAAACATAACGTTATAAACCATTATTAATATTCTTATAACAATATATTAATATTCTATTTATCTATCTACATTGTTCCAAATTCTAGTTTAGCAGATTCAGATTAAAATAAATTCTATTTCAAAAGAACATTAATGAGGTTTGTCAGAGGCTGAAATATGAAAAGTTGGGATTTGTGTGTAATATTAAGATGTTAACTACCTTACATATAATACATAGTCAGTTAAAAAATTTTAATGTAAGACTCTTTCAATACAAGGGGGATACAGAGAAGACTTCTAATGAAATCAATAAAAGTAAATTATATTTAATAAAACATTACCTGATGTTTTGTTTCAACACGAACCAAATCAAGTTGGGTACTGTTTCCATGGGCAACATTCAAGGCTGACACAAGGACCGGATTTTTGTCATAAGGCTCACTTTAAACAAAAAAATTGTACAAAGTTGTAATATCCAATTAGTCAAAGTTTGTATTTAAAATTTAATAGAAAAGTGTAATAAACAAAGCACTTTGTCACCATTTTGCCTCAATCACTTATCATCACAACCACGTTTTCAATAATAAATCTATTATTTAAATCTTTCATAGCATATGACTGGAAGTTTAATGAAATAATCATCCAGTAAATTTTGAAGCTAATCAGCATTATTATTAGATTTTATAGCTTATTTCAAAGATTTGTAATTTTCAAAATAAGTGTAATTTTAAACAGTTAACAAATAATCTTGACCAAATAACATTTGTTAAAATATTAACAGTACACTGTGGTAAAATTGTATGGCTGTAGTCTTGTTCAATATATCTGGTCAATATGACTTTATGCAGTTTTAAAATCTTTGAGAAGAAGTTTGTCACTATGGTTACTTGGTTAAAACATAGTTAAATGATATCCAAAAGAAGATGTTTAATGTAGATACAGGGTTAATCAATGAGATTACACCACATTATTACTGGCTACCATTAAAATTATGTTTCATGAATATTTACATATGAACCATAAAATTTATTATTAATCTCGAAGTAACAACCGTGATCAATAACACCGACAAATTGGATAGCAAATTATACTAATGGCTAACAATCAGGTTCATCATTTTAATGGTATGCTAGCTAAGTAGGAATGCTTTGTACTAGAAAATCAAATTAACAAATGGTTCAAAACATTGTATTTAAAGTAAATTATCAAAGCACTCTTGACAATGAAATTGGAACCCCGAGATGCTCCCGTGCCTCCCACCACTACACTGAGTTAGGGTGGCTCTTCCCCTCCTTAAGAAGACAATATTTCCTAGGCACATTCCTTTATCAAATCAATACTGATCATCGTCCTTCTTATGTCTACAACCTTCTCCAATTTAAGTCCTCAATCCATTCCCTCACTACAAGATCTCGACCCTCTGACCTATACATCCCTTCTCATAGATCTGCATCATTCCAAAACTCCTTTATAGCCCGCTCTGTCAACTTTTGGAATTCCCCAAAATTCGACATGCCCCTTCCCTATACACATTCAAAAACCTCCTATTCCAATTCCTGTTCCGAAAACAGTTAAATACCAGCTAACTATTAATACTATATATGTATTGTGTAGCAATCATATAATCATAATACTTGGTAAGAGATAGTACATTCATTTCCTCCTAACGACGTAGGAATTTCAATACATACATTTTTTTTTTATTCAATTATAATTAACTGTTTATTTTTATATATATATTCAAGTAAAGTTTTTTTTATGAAATGAACTCATTCTATCTCTTTTTCGTTCTTCATTTCTCAAAGTGTATGTTTATGTTGTTCAACCCTTATATACAGTTTTGTTCATAGTTCAAGTGATTCGTTCATAGTTTTAATTGTTTTGTTCATAGTTTTAAATGCTCTGTACATAGTTTTATCTGTATTGTATATAGCTTGTGCACCTAAGGTTTTCTTTACTTTTTATTTTATTTTATCAATTTTATTTATTGTTTCAAACTTTTAGGCCAGTAATATTCTATTCTTTTGTACAATACTGTTATTCTAAAGGGACTTAGTCCCAGAATAAAGGTTTTTTTTCTAAAAAAAAATAAATAAAATAAAATACTCATCATGGCTTTTTTAAACTTTTGTTTTTCTTTAATTAAACTAGTCCAAGAAAACAAATGTCTTCTGTTAATTGGGAAACAAAATGACAACTCATATCCAGCTTAATAGAACGATAGTTCCCACAAATCCCTTTTAAGCCCAAGTAACACTCCGAATATATTTTTAGGGCAGTAATAAATCTTGATAAATGAACATTGTGACAATTTAGCTTGCCTACCTAACTCTACCTGACTAGTTCTTCTAAAACATATTATCACAATATTCATTCATAATGATTTTAATTGCTCATATAGATGATTAAACATGGTAGGGGAAAAAAAACTCTTCTTCAATAAAATGAGTATTCTTTTTAATGTTTAGCTTGAATATTCAATTATTATTATTATTTTTTTATACAGTGCCAGTTTTTTAATAATTATTTTTCCTATATCTGTAGAGTTTAAAACTTTATAAAAAGTAAAGTAGAAAGATAAAAATTAAGTGAAACCTATGGACTGTAATTATGCACTGTAATTATACATAAATTTTGAAAATGATCCTTTCAGAGAGAAAAAAAATTCTTTATTATTTAAAGACAAAATACTTTATTATAGAAATATGTATAATTATACCATGTATATGTATATGTATAATATAATATAATAATAGTGTAGACATAATATAACATTCATGAGAAGCTTTTAGCAGTGAGGTTAGAGATCAACCTTGTGAGCACAAGATAATAAATACTTTGAATCAATCTCTCTTATACAGCGTAATGTCATTCCACTCATAAAGAAGTTAAGTGGCATTACATCTTAAAAATGACCTTTAAACCTAACACAATTAATCAATGATCAAATCAAGTAAGAATATCTTATTAAAGTAACTTATTGATAAAATGGAAGTTTAATTACTTCCATCTGTTTTATTTATTCATTTATTGAGTAATATAACATTCTGTCTATTGGACAATAGTTATAGTGAGGTCAGACTACATTCACACTCTATATGCAGAAAATAAAAAATAAACCGAAGCATAATATTGACTAAATAATAATCAAAAAGTGTATATATACAATAAATAAAAATTAAATAATTTAAAGACAAGTAAACTTGCATTTTTTTTATGTAAACTATTTCAATTTCAGTTTTCTTGAGATAAACAAAATTTACAAAGAATTTTTTATTTTTATAAAACATATCTGACTTTCGTAAAACTGAGTACACTAACTTGATTTAAAATATCTCGAAAACAGTTACAAACACATTCCGTGAATGAAAACTTCCTAATAATCAAAAAGTTATAATATTGACAACAGGGTTGACTTTTTCTTACAATATATTTACTCTTCTTTGTAATGATATTATTAAATTTTGAGAAAATAATAGAATTTTAAGAAAATCAACAGATAAAATCATAAAAATAAATAAATAACTATTGAGATCTTTGTAGTTATATAATTTCATTAGTTAAAAATTAAATCAGAATTAAAACCAATCTCTGAAATAATGTTACTTAGAAGTCCAAATGCCTTTGATAATTTTTTTTTTTAATTTTATAGGTTTATTGCAACAAGTCATTAAGTGACATTTCATAACCTCAAATAATTAAAAACATTGATGAATTTTCCCATTGTGAAATCATAAAATTGTACGCTTAGTTTAACTATATATGATAAAAAGGGTGCGTGTCATTTTCATGCACTTACGGTGTTGTTTTTTTTTTAGATAAATAAGGTTCATAATCACAAAAATATATTTGAAAGTTAACCTATATCAGAAATGCACTTAGTGACTTGATGCAATAAACCGACGATATGTTTGTATTTATCATTATATAAATAGGCAAAGGCAAAGCCCCTTTTTCTCCTCTCTTTCTCAACCGATTTTCTCTTTTTGTTTAGCAGACTGAAGAGTTTTTGTGTTATCAATAAGAACATTTTGGAAATGGTGTACGTAAATAAAAATGTAGATGTTAGTTTGTTCAAAACCGCTAATCTCCTAAAGTTCCTCACCGATTGCTTTGATATTGTAATACAACATTGCAATCAAATTTAGAATTTTTTTTATATACATTTCATTATCATCTAGCCTTTCGTTTAGAAATCGCCAACAGAAACTATGTGGCACCAAAATGGATGTAACGATTTCAATGAAACTTGGCTAAAGTTTTCTCTTTGAAGCCCTTTTAAGTTACGTATGTAACACGTTTCCCCAAAAAGAGATGGAAAAAAAGGAACGATGGATTAAGAAATTTATTCGCTAATAACTCAACAAGTAAACAATGTTTGGTTCATTAAATCTATGAGTATTAGAAAGCTTCCTGAATTCTAAACAAAATGAAAAAAAAAAAAAAAAACTCATGAAAATCGAAAAGAATCATGTCAGATAAGATATTTTTGAAGTGAAAACTTCTTTTAGACGCGTTTTGCACTTTCTTGTGAAGAGTGAATTAGACTGAGCTATCAGATTTCCGATGTATAAAGCTCGGGTAAAGTCGGCTGGAGTTGACTAACTGAAGCCCTTTTGTATATGGATTAAAATATCTCAGAAACTAATCAGACCTGCATAGTGGAATAGAAATATTTAGCATTTTATCCTCTTTGTAATGAGCTATTATTAAAATTGTATATTGACGTGACGGCGTATTAGAGAGGCAAAATGGGAAAAATATAGTGTTAAAAACCAAATTCCATAATAAATATTCTCATATTAAAAATGACGAATCATACTAAAATAATGAGAAAATACGATCATAACATATTTTAGTAATCATAAACCTATTGTTTCATTTTTAGAGTATGATACTGGCTTAGTATGATCAAGGTTTATTGAAGTAATTTAAACAGAATTATAATTGTATATATTGTAAATCTAATACTTTTGAATATAGAACAATAAAAATATTTATATTTCATACTATTAAGTCCGCCTTGATGTTTTCACTTGTATCATGTGGTCTTAAACGCATACTGCAGTTTTTGTTTTTACATTTTTTCAGTTTATATTTATTAAGAAAGATCTATCATGACAAATTGCTATAGTATGAGTACAATGTTGAAATGATACAATCTGCATTGACCGAAGGAGCAAAGTATTCGCATGCATTTTTATTTGCCAATTACCCAAAAAGTACACAACTAGTGCTCAGTTTTCTTTTGTAAGAACATATAAAAGGAAAGGTAGGAATACATAACAGTAGAAAAAAAATGTTGGCAACATGAAAATTCATTGTTTTCCTCAAATGTTCAATAATTACTATGGTGAAAATTTGGCTACCTCGCAAATACTAGTAAGTTTAAAAAATAAATCTTTATAGCACTTATTTGCTATAAAAATATCATAACTCAAAATCATGAATTTTCAGGAAATGCATTTAAAGTTTTAAATTGTGTATTGTTTTCAGTGAATTGAATTGGTTGATGGGTTGATTCTTCACCAGTTAATATCATAGTTCATGTTCTTACTGCACCTTTCATTTTTTTTTTTTTTATAGTACAAATACAGTGGTTAATCTAAATAAATAAAAATAAAATTTTAGTCAAACTATAATACAGAATAAAACATCGCACGCCTTAGGGAATGTAAATGAAAAGACCTATTTTCAGTTAAATCTTATATACCATTGCAATTGTCCAAGTAGTTAACTAAAAAATCATGATTTTAAAGTTATGAAGTTGCAGAAAATGAGTGATATCAAACACTTTGGTGCTAAATGTATTTTTAACAAACAAAAACTTGAAGAATGATATAACACACTTACTCATTAGCATGAGCGATTGATTTAGCTAGACCATTTCCAGAACCGCAAGGTATTATGCCAAGTTTGATTTGGGAACAGATTGCTGACCAGTCAGGCCTCTCCATGATACCGTTGATCACTTCAAATAGTATACCGTCTCCGCCAGCAACCACGATTCCTCTCATGTACCGCCATAAATTCTATAATAAATAATAAGATGATTAATTAATAACTCTCTCTCTCTCTTTTGCTGGATCAGGGGTTATAATTCAGTCTAGCCTGTCCAACTTAACTAAACTGATCATAGGATTAAGTTAAGCCAAGAACAAAATTAATCTAGAAACTAATAGTACATTTTTCTTTTTTGGCCTTAGATAATATTATGTCCTAAAATAAGTTCACCAGAAAACATATTAACAACTGTCTCAGCAACTCGTTCTAAATCCATTACTTTCTAAGTAGCATTGCTTTCATCAACTAGACCATATTCCAAAACTAATCCTTAAAAAAAAAATTCTGTCTCAATAAATAATTTCAAGCCCAATATCAGATGCATTTACCAAGACAAGACAAAGATGCTAAATTTAAAATTAATGTCTTCACAAGTTTATACTTATATTTATTCTCTGACGTACAGTAGCAAAACCAGGGTTAAATTTTAGGGGGATTCTTTTGTTTTATAATGGTAATTATTCTGAAAGAAAAATAAAAAAAAACCCATAAGAAATGATGATAAATGCCTGCTAAGAAAAAATAATTACAGAAACAATTAAGCTCTTGAGAAATCATTTTTCTATTTTTTTTTTCTTGAAACATGCTTACATTTTATTTTTATTTATTATTTATTTTGTTTTTATTTTAGTAGCTTGGTTTCAAAGCCAGTTATATCTATTTTTTTCAAAATAAAGTTTTTAATACCAGAAATGGAGAAGACCAACTAACATTCAGGTACAAAAATAAATAAATCAATTTCAAGATTCTTGGTCTTAATAATTAAATAACATTTTGGTAGAATATCATCTTAGTGATAGGAGGAGATAGTCTTAACTTGAAAAAAATAAAAGAGAAAACAATCATACAGATAGGTAATCAGTAAATAGATAGTAAATAATGGAAACAAATATAAAGTAAATAGTTTTTCTAAAGAAATAAAATATATACCTCAGCTATTCTGATATTAAAAAACTATATTAATTAAAAAAAACTCTTATACCAACGAATAAAATATGAGTTTGTTAATGACATCTTGAAAGAAAAAGGTCCTCCAACCCTTTATAATTAACAGTAATCTGATATCGTAATGTATTACCTCTTTTCGAACAAGGCTCTGGGCATCGTGAGCATGAGTGGTACAATGGAGGTGGTAGCTGATTTCTGCTTCATCCAGGAGAGGAACTACTTTGCTTTGGAATATGTCTCTCGCTTTCCCAATTCCACTTTTAGGATTCAGTATCACTAATAATTTATTACCTATAAAACAAAATAGTGAATTTTCCTCAAAAAAAAAAAAAAAAATCATACTTAAATAAATATTTTAAAGATTTTTTTTAACTAGAAAAACAACAAGAAACAGATTATCTTAATCCATACCATGTCGATTATAGCGGGATAATCAATGATTTTATTGTTACCATAATTTACGTTTTTACGTGTTTCTTTTTTGTATTTATCTATTTGTTTATTTTATTTTATTTATTTATTTTGTTATTTCTATTTATTTTTTTATTTATATATGCGTTATGGTATTACTTACGTATTATTTATATTGTGAAAGGATTACTACTTCCGTAGTTTTTAAAAAATTACTTTATATATAGTGTATATTTTATGTATGTATATGAATACATTTATGTATTTTTTCTTTTATATTTTTATCGACGCAGCTGCAAATTGTAAGTAAATGCAATGCTCAGTATATTATAGCTTAATGTTAGTATGTTTTTTTATATGATTCTTGGATTCCAATATCCAAGATAAAACGTTACGATGGTGAAGGTAGCACCAAAACAAATTAGAAATTGGGAAAGTTGCTGTAAATTTGTTATGTTGGGAAATGTATGAAATATGTATGTACTGCCGAATAAATAAATAAAAATAAAAATCCAGGAGAGGAACTACTTTGCTTTGGAATATGTCTCTCGCTTTCCCAATTCCACTTTTAGGATTCAGTATCACTAATAATTTATTACCTATAAAACAAAATAGTGAATTTTCCACAAAAAAAAAAATCATACTTAAATAAATATTTTAAAGATTTTTTTAACTAGAAAAACAACGAGAAACAGATTATCTTAATCCATACCATGACATAAAAAATTTTCAGTTAACAATTGATATTTAATTTAATCGCACTTATATCTTTTCAATATAGTAATTAAAACGAAAATTAGTATTTACAGAAATAGGTTAGAGCACAGTAGTGGAAAAATAGACTCCTTTGAAAATAGACTGAAAAAAGGAACATAAAAGATAAAAACCATGACCGGAACAAGTATTGTTCAGTTGAGTTAATTTAAAAAGAGCTGCATTAAGTTCAAATAAAAAACAATATTTTTAACATCTAAGCTCTCCGATTCTGCATTCTGCAACGGAAGAATGAGAGTAGTTTTAAATTTTACATGAAAGAAAACTGATGGAATAACACTGACAGCATTGGATATCTTACACTTCCACCAAACAAATATCTTATATTTTTTTTCTCTCATCCTGTCGTCTCAGAATAAAAATATTTAGTTTAAAATGTGTCATATTAGCTTTAAAAAAAAAAAAAAAGACCTGTACCACTACAACCCATGAAGGGTCTTGGCCTCGGTATTATTTAGGGAAAGCACTGTTTCTTGGTCTGCAGTTGTGCTAGGAGGTGATTTGAACGAGATCATGCTCAATCGCCAGATTTTCCTCCTTAATTAATTATTTTAATTAAGGTTACCCACTTTATAGAGGCTGGGTGTGCCCCAGGAGGATCTACATGCCCAGGGTCGCCCCAGTGCCAATGAAACAGAATAAATAATTTTTCTGCCATAAGCCGGGATTCGAACCTGGGACCTTTAGCATTGGAAGCTCAATAGCCTACCACTGAGCTACCCCACTCCCTATTAGCTTTTATAAATGGATGTTAATAAATTAGAACTGAGAGGAACTTTGACAGTTTCATGCTCGGCAGACATATACAATGCACTACAGTAGAGTGAACGTAGTCCCTATCATACCCCGAGAGGGACTGTTATTAGAAGTGTTTAACTAAATATGAAACTTTTTTTGATTATTTAAAAAGTACAATCTCAATCTTATATATGTTTTTATCACTCCACTTATATAACAGCCCAAATTTATGAAATTTTTCTCCTAACTAACATGAAATTAATTAAGAGAATTAAAATAAATTGATTCTCTCAATTAAGAGACAATGGGATGTTCCTCCAACCAGTTATTATATACATAAGAGAGCTCTCAACTTTGGTCACTCAAAGAAAAGAGAATATTGCAAACAAATATCCTCTGAAAAATCTTTGATCTAACAAAAGAATCAATTCTATGGCGGCTGGAGACAAACAAGTTGCTGAGAAAGCACTTAGTACATTATTTACAACATAAATCGTAGCAGAATAAGATGACTGGGACATGTGCAAAGGATTAAAGATGGTTGACTCCCTACCATGGTAATAGAGGATGATAGAAGAAGAAAATTTACAGTCTTAGAGTTCACTGCCTGCAGGATGTGGAAAACAATATTCAGATTCTCCAAATACCAAGTGATTTCTGAAAAATTATATTAGATCATTAAAATTTGTCCTAACGACTAAAATTTTTAGTTTGGTTAGGCATTTTTGGAACAAAAAGTTTCGAACCATGGGAAAACTGGGAATAGACAGCAGCAAGTATAATTGTATGTGATCTATGATTCGATAAATTCTAATTTTGCTTGCAATGTTTTTAAAAAGAGGGAAGCAATAAAATATCTTGGAATGGGGAGGAGATTCATGCGCCATCTACCTTGAAGGTACAGGCAACCCTGGACCAAATTTCAGTTGACTGTTTTTAAATTAAATATATAAATATGCTTTCTCACATTAAAAATTATAATACATTTTATAACCTTAATAAATTTAAAAATTCTTTCAGAATGCTAAATTATAAATGAGGAGTTGATCGGGGGGGGGGGGGGGGGGGGGGTGCGGTCAAGTAAATACTAAATTAGACAAATAGTATTATTTAATTTTTGCAGGTCTTCATCAGGGCTACAAAAGATACAAAACAAGTGAAAATAAAATAAATGAATACTACTTAATCTACTTATATTCATTTATTTTATTTTCACTTGTTTTGTATCTTTTGTAGCCCTGATGAAGACCTGCAAAGTGGGTTGAAACATCAGCAAAAAATTAGATAATACTATTTGTATAATTTAGTATGTATTTGATTCTATCCTTGTATTGATGCAATGGAGGGAATTTCTTATTTATTTATAGGAGATAAATCCAGTAACGTGTAGGACAATTTAAATGTATAAACATACAAATATAATATAATAATTTGTATAATGCAAGATTTAATATATAGGCAACACCACCAAAAAATGTCATGAAAACAATAAAATAAAAATAATAATTAATGTACAGTAACATATATTGTAAGGTAAACTTATGAGCGTATAGTGAATTGAAAGATGAAAAGAATGACAGTAATTTCGAGATATACATATGGCAAGGATGTGAAGAAATACACCCTTGAAGTTAACCTTCAAACTCCTTGAAGATCGCCGAGGTTGAACCAAACATTTTGATGTTTTTTCTATTATTTTTTTTTTTGTGTGTGCTAATCTAGGTCAATTTCATTAGTTAATATTTTAATGGCTGCTCATTTTCTCTGTTCAATTTCCCTTTCTTTAATCACTTAAAAAAAAAAATAATTCCACAGTTATCATTTATTTTATATTTTTATCAAACCATTAAGCAATACAGCAGAAAACTATTAAAGCAATACTCTATCTATCCAAAGAGGTTTAAATTGAATAATTTAAAATGGTTGATCATTAAAATAAATTATTGCGACTAAACAGACTGTCACTACGTGACTAATTGGCACAAATATACGAGCAAATATTGATTTTCACTTTCACTCAGCTATAATTAACCGTATAGAAAAGGGAAGAATGGCGACTGTATCAAATTTCTAATGCGAGTTTTTAAAGAAAACGCACCTCTTGTCCTCGCCTGAATCCAAATAATTAATCTAGCAAAATGGCCTGTGTATGTGAATAGTCTAGCAGAGTAGCGAATCCAGGATTCAATTTTGGAGGCTTGTTTATTTATTTTATTTTATTACAGGAATTGTTTGTAATATAACGAAAAAAACTATATAAAATAATGTTTTAATGACCCTTGAATGTCCGCCGTTTAAACAATAGGAATATGAGCCTTGCCGATGAACCCAGATCAGGTCCTCTATCGGTAGATGATGTTCTTGAATGTGTGAACTGGCTTCTAATGCCATTGGCTCGTCATCTTAAAAACTGAGAGTTTAAGACCAAGATCCGACCAAAACCCAAAAGATGACAGGTTCTGGGAAAAAATGATCAGAAGTGACGAAAAGTGGATATTTAAAAAAAAAATATCTGGTGTGTCCACTCACACGACTTGCCTACCTATTTCAGAAAAGTTTTTATATGTTTACACATGTTCATGAAAAAACAAAAAAGAATTGAACTAGATACATTTTCCTAAAAATTGATCAAACGAAAGATTTGAATACGATTTATTTGATAAACTAAAGCAATGTAAACCGGCTTATGATAGATCAGTGTAAAAATTTCAATACTTCCTAATATTGCTGATCAAAAACTTTTTGCCATAGCTTAGTATTTTCAAACAATAATTTCTGGCATCAGTAGTCAAAACCCTACAAAATAAAAAAATAAGCAACAAAATCCGTTCAGTAATTTCCGATAAAATCTTGGCACAGACAGACCAATGCTAAAAATGTGTTTTTCGGACCCAGGGGACTGTGAAACGCATAGATCCGTCGAAAACGGCATGTCGGAAATTTGACCCGATTGCAATAATTTCCTTACCTAGTATAGGTAGGAAAGTATTGCACGATGAAACTGCACAACCGGATGTTCGCCTAAAGATTGGTTTGGAAAAAAATGATGCTTTGTGTTTGGTGGAATTTCGATAACGATTTTTTAAAATTTATTTTGAACTTGTTCCTGGAAGTGGACTAAAGCCTTTACTGCCAATAACTAGACGGAGTTCATGCAGTTTTGAGTGCAAAATACCTCTCTTTGGTCAAAAAGAACCAAGATATTTTGTAACACGAAAATGCCTCTTCACATCGTTCTCATTTCACCGGGAAAAAATTAACTAGAGCTGCAAGCAAACTAAACGTTTTGCCAAATCTTGCTTATATCCCAGATATCGCACCATCAGGTCATGGTTTGTTAGCATCATTGATAAGGTTGGATCTTTGAA